CAACAACAGGGGTCAATTTTATCAATAGCTTTAAGACTTCTTCCTGGTAAAGCGAAAGTCCCAAGAAGCAAGATAATTGATGGAAAGGTCAAGACACCACAAATTTTGTATAATGAGTGTTAGTCTTAAGTTTGTGTTGGAAGTTTATTAAAATGAATTGAATGTACCCATTTTAATTATCGATGGTGTCTGTTAATGCTTTTATGAACATAAATTGTACTTATGTTGAACATTGATTACCATGTGCGGGATTCCTATTTGTTAATATTTTCTCTTGAACTTGCGAGGCTTTATTACCATTACGACAATTTTTCCTTACTTGTGATTTTACAGTTTTGGGAAGAGTTATTGGTCTGTTTTTCAGTCTTTTCTTGTCCAGATATCTCCTTTAGTTTGTTACAATTTCTTAGATCCTTGATTTGCTTGAAAACCACAACTTCATTGTATTCTTCTGAACAGCATTTTGATTCAACAATACTACAAACAAATTGTTCTTGCATCTTTTCAGCATCTAAATTTTGTTGAGATATTTTCTGTTCGTCTCCACAATAAATGGTGTGGTTTAATTTCTCATTTAAATGCACAGAACTGTTTTCTCTTTTGACTCCTTGTTACCTTGCCCATATATTTTACCTGGGACAGTGGTATATCATTCCATCTCACAGTATTCATGTTCTTCGAGCTAGTTCTTGTTGTAGTTGTTATCGGACCAGATACCAAATCCCCTTTCAAGGATATCATTGATAGATTGATGACAGTATTTTGTTTGCTTGGTTAATCAGCTGATGAACACCCATGGTCATCTTGAGTAGGTTACCTTACTGAACAAAATGCTGGAGGCCCAACACATGCTATCAGTTATTGTAGTCCATGGTTAGTCCCAAGATCTCAACTTCCCTAGAAACAAATTTCTGAAATCAAACCACAAACATTGGGTCTTCCAGAGACTGCCAAGTTTTATCATCTTCCAACTTTGTCATTGATTGCACAAAAAGGCTTGAACAGTCTTATGTCATAGTCAATGTTGGCTCACCTAAAGTGCTTTAACACATTTGTTTGTCAGCTGCAGATTGTTTGCCAAAAGGCCCAGAGTGATGACATTTGATCAGTATACGTAGAATGCTTAAGAAGTGGACTTACATGAAAAGTCAAGTGGTACAGGTCTATCTGGCCTTTTACTATTTTCTATTTAATGTCTTGTACTCCTATGATTTGTAGGATGTTGAACCAGAGGATGAACCAGAATTATTTTCTCTGCTGAACAGCTTTTTAGACGAGAAGGATGGTGTCAAAACACAAGTAAGATGATTTGATCATTAAAACTGTAAATGACTGTAATGTGTAGATAAATATCAATGATGCCGGGCTAAATCACTTGTAGTATCATTCAACATATTTTCTCTAAATTAAACTGGTTCTTTTGATGAATAAGGGTCTTTTTTTTGCCAACAACCAGTTTCTAATGAAAATGGTGAAATGAGAGATATGTAAATTCTGCTTCAGAAATGGTGAATTACTAAATCCTGCAACATAACAAGAAACTGTCAGTAGGGAAAACTAATTACATTTTTATTATCTTCAAAATGAGCCACTGAAGGGAGTAAAGGGGCCTTTTTTGGTAGATCTGGTGTATTTTCATGGTATTTTATCAGTTTTAATACATCTTTAAAAAGAGCAAAATAGGACCTCCCTATAATGTTGGCTTTTACTGCATTTTATCCATGTAAAGTCTCGTATATTTCATCAAAGTGATTGTGATATTAAACTGCTTGCTATATCTGTAATTATTTCAGGGTGCTGGATTAAACAAAACCTACAAAGCACAGAAGGATAGAATGGATTCACACAAGTTAACACACTGGCAGAAAGTAGAGTTGGGCCTCGAGTCTGAACATGTATGTACTTCAACAGAAAAATTATACAGAAAAATCGTAATGATAGGTTAATATGTACCTTTCTGTATGAACCCCCTCTCCCACCACTGCTCCTGTTTGCCTGATAGTGAGGCATGATGTATGCAAATATTAAAGGTTTTCTGAAATGTTCCAGCAATCAATATCTAAACTTGGCTCAAGTGCTACAACCCGATTCTGTAGGACCCTGTCTACTGTAGGACCCTATGTCTACTGTAGGACTCTGTATACTGTAGGACCCTATGTCTACTGCAGGACCCTATGTCCACTGTAGGACCGTATGTCTACTGTAGGACCCTATGTCTACTGTAGGACCCTGTCTACTGTAGGACCCTATGTCTACTGTAGGACCCTATGTCTACTGTGGGACACTGTCTACTGTGGGACCCTATGTCTACTGTAGGACCCTATGTCTACTGTAGCCCTTTGTTCTTACTATATCAGTACATCTTTAAGAAAAGGATTTTTACAGGCTGCTGTCTGCTGCCTTATTTCTTTTGAATACTTTTCCTTCAGTATAAACATTGAGAATTCTATCAATGTGGTAATCTTTCTTCATCACAACAATATCACTTATTTGTTTTCCATTTTCAGCCTGGAGAAGAAAAGAGGAATTTTGTTACAAACACGAATACCTTCTGGCCCCAAGGCATTGTACCTTATGAAATTAGCACCAGTTTCTGTGAGTTTGAAATGTTAAATTTTCAGACTTTCTACACAAGAACATTCGACTGGTGTCCAACTTTCCAGATCTAGAGCATTTTTGTTTTGTGCTATATAGTATTGAAAGTTTTTTTGAAAATTTAAATATTGGATGATATTATGTACAGATTGCGTGTGCAATTCCTATTAAGGTAAGGGAGAGGATTGGTGTGGCTTTTACATATTAAATACGGTCTGTCGCTCAACTGACCGTGTACTAGTTGTAAGAGAGATTATCATGCCAGAGACCCATGTTCAATTCATGTGGTGGTTCTAAGCTCTAAATGTGTATTTTGTTGCTGAAATTGAACCTAATTAAAAGTATTTTACAAGATGCAAAATTATCAAACTTACCTGGTAGTGAAATAGCTTTCATGTGATAACCTGGTAGTGAAATAGCTTTCATGTGATAACCTGGTAGTGAAATAGCTTTCATGTGATAACCTGGTAGTGAAATAGCTTTCATGTGATAACCTGGTAGTGAAATAGCTTTCATGTGATAACCTGGTAGTGAAATAGTTTTCATGTGATAACCTGGTAGTGAAATAGCTTTCATGTGATAACCTGGTAGTGAAATAGTTTTCATGTGATAACCTGGTAGTGAAATAGCTTTCACGTGATAACCTGGTAGTGAAATAGCCTTCATGTGATAACATTTACTGTTTCAGCAACCTCTCAGAGAGCCGTTATTGAGGGAGCCATTGCAGAAATGACAGCCAAGACCTGTGTGAGATTTCTACCAAGGGGCTCAACTGATCCCAATTCACTTGGACACAGTTCATATATCAATTTCTTTAGTGAAAGGTTAGTAGCCCTGTAAAGTAATGTATGTAAAAAAATATTGTGTGTATGAACTAAACCATGAATTTAAAACACCTATGTTGTTTGGCTTTATGAAAGTTCCTTAAAATTTGAAAATCACTGAATCTCTCACGAGAAAATAATTTATCACTTGCACTAAAAGTTGCTGATAACAAAATTGCCGACATGTGTTGCAAAAACTTTTGACTTCGCTGAAAGAAATAGACTGCATGATTTTACATCTGCATACATACACTTAATGCCATCTTGCGATGTTGATCTATGAAAGAATGTAACTTGAAGTTTGTCGACATCAAACATATAGATTTAGATCACATGTGATCTTTTCGGTACTACCTGAACAACATTTCTGTACATATTATCAAGTTGTTGCCGAAATACTTATATTCTATTCATAAATGTGAATTGTATTTATACTCGGTTCATACATATAAAATCCTCAGCTTCCAAAATTCATTATGATGGATTATCTATATGTAAAGGTTAAACAGGCACCACTCCACATACATTCAAAGATCCCGTTTAAAAACAGTTTCTCTTATTTACTTAAATTTCCATGAAATTGAAATCTATGTTCAATATTTCCATGGATCAAATAACATTTTTTATCTGATTCAGTACAAAATCACTATCACTGGGTTTGTCCAAATGAACAGAAATCCAATTTTCCATATTGTTTTGGGTTGATCAATGTCCCTTGAAAGCAGGGTTAGAAAAATCCACTAGTCCGCTTGTCAATACAAGTCGAAGCTACTTGAGGGCGAGTGATTTGTTTCAGCTACTTGTCCGACAGGCGAGTGAAATTTGTAGTTCTGACTATTGAATATTCCATAATAAATGACGTTTATCAACTTAAACACTCTTAAAACTAATTTAAATCCACCGATAGTCGATCAAATACATTGGTGTAGTATCCTTGTTTACACCACGTGTGAAGACTCCGGCTGATCCAGACTACACGAAAACCTATTATATTATATCATTATTATATATTATGAGTTCCCTAAATTATGTTTTGTTGCCTTTTTTCTTTGGGGTGAGTTAATATTGGATTCGGGCAAGTGAATTTCAACTTTCACTTGCCCGACAGACGAGTAGCTGAAAATATTTTTGTTAAGCCCAGTGAAAGGCTATGTAAAACTTGTATCCTATTTTCTAGTCTATTGGTTGATTTGAGTGTTCTCTAACCCAACATTGTCTGGGATGTGTCCTCGTCACAAATAGTTTTCTTCGTCACTTGGTTTTGATTCCTGCTATGTATTGCCAGTACACTGTATCCCTGATGTTGGTCCTTAATCTGTCTTCCCCCACCCAATGAATGTTGGTAGAGGATATACAAATTTGTTCTATCTGTGCAGGAGGTGATTTTTGTTGAAACAGTCCAAAATTCAACAGTTTCATGGTTACCATGGAAACAAATAATCAACATTGCTGATTTCAGTGTTTCAGTAGTAAAACCATTCAGAGTAACTCTATGAAAATTTCTACACATCAATCAAGTAATAAAGCAGTGCCTTCTGGTATCCTTTCCAGTTTTGATATTACTTTTGTTACCATAGAAACTAGTCAAATTACTGATTCCAGCATTTCTAGAACAGACTTTAATCTCATCTTCTGTCCCATCCTTCACATGTATTATTAACTCTTCAAACATCCTATAATATCAACTAGAGCTGCAAGATATCGCACTCATGTCTAGGCTCTTTGACAAGGTATCTCAACAAACTCGCTGGGCAGGAGTTTTTTAAAGCATTTCCTATCTCGCTGAATAAGGCTTTTGACAGCGTTTCATTTCCAATTATTATTTATACCATGACTTCTGTGGCACAACCTTTTCCTTTGCACTACATCTTCCTTTTTTTAAAAAGATTTTTTGGCACCTCATCCATATTTTAAGTCACATCTTCCTATCTCAGTGGAACATCTTTTACGCTGTATTATGGTATGAGTGTTCATACCAATTCATATCAATTTTCCTTTAATTTTATTGATGTTCCATGATGTATCAATCCATACAATGTTTCAAGATGTCAGCTTCATCTGATTCTTTATAGTCTCGGTCATTACTGTCCACTATATAACTCCACTGTGTAACTCCACTATCCACTATATAACTCCACTGTGTAACTCCACTATCCACTATATAACTCAACTGTGTAACTCCACTATATAACTCAACTGTGTAACACCACTATATAACTCAACTGTGTAACACCGCTATCCACTATATAACTCCAATGTGTAACTCCACTGTGTAACTCTACTGTGTAACTGCACTGAGTAACACCACTCTGTAACTCCACTGTGTAACATCGCTGTGCAACTCCACTGTGTAACTCCACTGTGTAACTCCACTGTAACTCCACTGTGTAACACCACTGTGTAACACCACTGTGTAATTCCACTGTGTAACTCCACTGTGTAACTCCACTGTGTAACACCACTGTGTAACTCCACTGTGTAACTCCACTGTGTAACTCCAATGTGTAACTCCACTGTGTAACTCCACTGTGTAACTCCACTGTGTAACATCACTGTAACTCCACTGTGTAACATCACTGTAACTCCACTGTGTAACATCACTAACTCCACTGTGTAACATCACTGTAACTCCACTGTGTAACTCCACTGTGTAACTCCACTGTGTAACTCCACTGTGTAACTCCACTGTGTAACATCACTAACTCCACTGTGTAACATCACTGTAACTCCCCTGTGCAACATCACTAACTCCACTGTGTAACTCCACTGTGTAACTCCACTGTGTAACTCCACTGTGTAACATCACTGTGTAACTCCACTGTGTAACTCCACTGTGTAACATCACTGTGTAACTCCACTGTGTAACTCCACTGTGTAACTCCACTGTGTAACTCCCTGTGTAACTCCACTGTGTAAATCACTGTAACTCCACTGTGTAACATCACTGTTACTCCACTGTGTAACATCACTGTGTAACTCCACTGTGTAACTCCACTGTGTAACTCCACTGTGTAACTCCCTGTGTAACTCCACTGTGTAAATCACTGTAACTCCACTGTGTAACATCACTGTGTAACTCCACTGTGTAACTCCACTGTGTAACTCCACTGTGTAACATCACTGTAACTCCACTGTGTAACTCCATTGTGTAACTCCACTGTGTAACACCACTGTGTAACTCCACTGTGTAACTGTGTAAAATACTGTAAAATCTTCTCCAATAATATTGAATGAGGGATATTGAAATTGGTCAGTTTATTAATGCAGTATCAGCAACAATAAATCATTTTCCCTAACATTTATGCAATGAAGATACAAGACCAAAAAGTAAACTCCTAAAAACTCCTTTGGATTACAGTGGATGTTGGTCCTATGTCGGGAGAGTGTTTTCTGCCAAACAAGACCTGAGTTTGCAAGCACCAGGGTGTGTAACAGTAAGTATCATAAGCTAAATAATATTACCGTCCCAACTATTTTTTATGACACATGACCAAAACTACCTATCCTTTTGCACAACTAGCTTATTTGCCTTTGAATATTCAATAGATAATCTATTCTGACAAACAACCAGATTAACACTATCCCAGCAAATTATCGGATCATCTGCATTTCCATGTATACCACCAGATTATCTCTCCAACCTGAAACATGACTGGGTTATCTCTCTTTCCAGACACTAGCAGATATCTCCCTTCCCTTACAACCTAGCAGATTATCTCTCCAACCTGAAACACTACTGGGTTATCTCTCTTTCCAGACACTAGCAGTTATCTCCCTTCCTTTACAACCAAGCAGGTTCTCTCCTACCTGAAACATGACTTTATCTCTTTCCAGACACTAGCAATTATCTCCCTTTCCTTACAACCTAGCAGATTATCATTCCAACTTTAAACACGTCTGGGTTTTCTCTTTCCAGACACTAGCAATTATCTCCCTTCCCTTACAACCTACCTGACACTACCAGATTACCTTTTCTTACTGACATGCTTCAGGTTCTCTCCCTTTCTTGGCATAATGCCAGATTATCTTCCTTGGCACACCTATAGATTATCTCCTCTTTCTAAAGCTATCTTTTGATACATAAATTTTCATTTCAATTTAGCTCGCCTGATCAACAGGGCAAAAACCTTATTTTCATTAAAGTGTAGTCTTTAAAAAAAAATCTTATGATCTTTTTTATTTTCATTAAAAAAAAACAGAACAGCATAACTATTCATGAGATGTGCCATGCCATTGGTCAGATGCACGAACAGTCTCGTAGTGACAGGGATAACTATGTTACTATGCTGTGGAATAATATTCAAGGAGGGCAAGGTAACAATAACATGATCAAAGACAACACGCTGGACAACAATAATTATGACCACGAATCGGTTCTCCAGTACAGTCTGACGGTAAGTGTCTTATGGATAGAAAAAAACTAGTTTATGAACAAATTACGCGGAGGCACATTGCGGCTAAGGGGCTATAACAGCTGTAGTGCTTGCCATAACTTCAGTATTACCGGCCAACAAATAAATGCTTAGACTGTCAAGATATCGAAGCTGCTGGTCGAACTATGTACCAGAAGAGAGGCAACTTAACTATTTACTGCCAAATAGAATTCTTGGGGGACTTACGAATTACATAATGAATTAAAATGCCCAAATTGAAGATGTACCATAGCTGAAATACCCCCAAGAAATAACTAGTTTTTGTTGGACCATATTTCTGCTGCAGTTATATAAATTGATCTTTGAGTAAGAAAGTACTCTGAGAAAGCGATTTCAGTCCCGACGCTTAACAACCATCTCAAAATTACAACTGCAGGTCTAAATTAGACACTTCACTTTCGTTTTGTTGTATCACAGCCACCTAGTCCTAATGATCCCAATTTCCTTGTTATTACCTACACCATACATTGATCAGAGGTCAAAGTTTACGGGTGTGCATTGAACTGCAACCGACTGGTTCTGAAATACGTTTATCCATCCTACCACTAGGTGGCATCGTGCATGTTGTAAACAACTTAATTGGGACAAGACTGACTAATCTGTGACAGACATGCTACGGGGGATCATTTCTTAGATATGTGTGCCTTCACTGTGACAGACATACGTCAATTTATGATTGAAACTGTTAAAACTGATTGCAAGGCCAGACTCTTTTGATGGAAGGTGATTGACATCTTTGAAATTTGGTAGGCTTGAAAACCACATAATGACATTGTCTTGTCCTAAACAGCATTTGATTCAACAATATTTCAGAGTTTGTATATCATAAAGCTTTTTAAGATAACTTTATGGTTCATCATGAAGTCGCTTGGTGGTCTGTCCAAAGCGCCCTTTATCCATTATTTGTCTGTGTCTTGTCAGCCTGTCCGTATACAGTCCTTGTTATCACTATTTCTTGATATATTGAAGGATAATTTCCCAAAACTGAATATGCAATTTCCTCTCTGTTCCTAGTTGTGTCTATTTAATTTTTCAAGTGATCAGTGAAACGAAATGGTCACCAGGCAAAAATGTTTGGGATGTCATGTTGTTGCGAGTTGTATCTGGTATAGTGACAGTTGAGGTGTGTTACCACTGTTTCTTAAAGGTATCAGAAAGATATTTCTAATCATGGTGAAACGAACTTCACTTTGCCATGGGCTTCACTTTATCATACCACACTGGTTTATATACCACGTAGATTGTCAGATTGTATTATGTTTAATTTTGATAGGATGTCTCAAGCAAAATCCTGTATTTGGATTAATCATTGTTTTAGATAAATTCTGATCAGCTTGCGTCAGGATCAGTGTTAAAATGAAAGACATTTCTTGGAGCCAAATTGAATTCTAAGACCATAAAGTTAGGTCTTGATTGTGAAAAGTCATTCGAAAGTACCTTAAAATGACATTTTCTACCAGAAATTGTAGTACAGCTGCCAGGAGGGTATTTATAGTAACAGCAAATGAAATCCAGCCGTATCAAGAATTCCATTTACGACATAATATATAGTTCTATTTCACCAAAAAAACTGGTTCCAAAATTTTACTTATACCTATTCCCTTTTAAAAAATTGTTTGTATTTTAAAGATGTTTTCTGCTTATGTTTTGTTAGTGCAAACAGTCTTGCATTGCATCAACAAATTCTTAATTTGATTGGCCTCATTTTGTTTCCATTTGAGAGTTCCTCTATGGGAACAATCCTAGTTCTTAAAAGTATGATTGTTGACTTTCTTTCAAAATGTTAAAATGTATAGATTAAAGATTTTTAGACAATCACATTATTTTCTTTAGAATTAGAATTTCCATATTATGGAGCAGCTTGAGCTTGGAAAGACATTTTCATTCTATTTTTATATACCCCACTTAAAGGGTAGGGGTATACATATGTATATAGCTATCTCATTGTCTGTTGGTTTGTCTGTGATAACCTGATGTACAAAATAACTTATGAATCCATGGACAGATTTAATTTTGACACCATGGATTTAAACTTGAAGGTTAACATTTTTTGATGGTCATTGGTGAAGGACAAAGGTCACCCATGACCACTTTTTGAAATAAAGTTAGGATATGACATGTAGGCCTTGATACATTAATCCTTCTATAGATTTAGATACCTATGTCAGTCCTTGCTCACTTTTGTTTTATTTTTCAGGCTTTTTCCACTAATGGTCAACCAACAATGGAGTTCAAAGACAGGCGTTTGGACTTCTTGGCTGATTCTGCTGGTGGTTTGACATTTTATGATGTGAAGGATATAACGGCTGCCTATCAGTGTGCTCGTAAGTTTGTGTATGATGTCTATCTCTTGATTCAATACTTTATCAAATCTTGTCAAATCTCTGACTTGGTCCATGTTAATATACTTCCTAAAGTGTTGCTTCAGATTCAACCTAATCAAGAAATTTTATCTCTTGAATTTGGAAGTTTTTTTATCGAGTTAAAGTACCTCATTATAATCAAGTTTTATTAAATTTAATATATTTTTAAAAACCTGTCTCACTTTTTGCATACTTAAGTAAATTTTTAAGAGTACACATCTATATATTCAACTTAACTTTGTATTTCTTAAATTTAAGAAAAAATATTTTCAAATATTCACATTTCATAATTGTTTTCATGGCTTGCTTGGTTTTTAAGTGATAATGTTTTTATTCAGAGAATTGTGCGGTAAAACTTTGTGAAAACGGAGGATTTCAAGACCATACATGTCAGTGCCTGTGTCCAGATGGCTTGATGGGGGACCTATGTGAACAAGTTGACACTGACAATAGTATGTATTTTTTTTAGCAAATTAAGATTACTAAACATCAAACAATAGGAAAACCAAGCGGACTATAGTTTTTCTTTCCGTCCGTCCGTCTAGGCGTCCGTCCGTCCCTCTGTTAATCTGACAGTGTCAGTGCTTCATACCATGAGGGATTCTTGTCAAACTGCACACCCTTTTAAAAGCATCAAAAAGTCTTTTATACATTTGAGTTTAAGAGTTGTGGGGTCAAGGTCAAAGTCACCCTTTTTTAGTTCACCTAGCCTGAAAGGCCAAGTGGGGTTATGCTTTACAGTGGCCTCTCTCATCCCGTTGTCTGTCTTGTCAACTTACACATTTCAAAAAAAAATCTTCTACAAAACAACTGGGCCAATTTTCTGAAACTGGGGGCAGTGTTGCATATGTTATGCAAATATGTATTTACATTTTTATTTTCTTCTCCAAAATTACTGGGCCAATTTTGACCAAACTTGACATGCATCATGTTAGGACGTGGGGAGCTAGCTATATCTATGAATTGTATCTACCCTAGGGGTAATATAATAATGAACAGCCAAATTTTTGTACTTTCCTATATCATTTGTTAAAATACAAAATTTCAGCCTTTAATATTCCAATAAAAGAAAATCTCAAAAATGTGACAAAGATTGCAATGAAGACCATGTTTACAGAGGTATTTTGAAAAGCACAATTCAAACTCCATGTTTGGTTCTTCATTCATAATGTGATACCATGTGCACAGAACTTGTCATTATCCATGTATGATAATAAGAATATCAAAGGTTATGGCATCAATCACAAATGTTTACGTGCCATACTACAATTTGATTAGGTACAGGGATCTGTTATATACATTATCTATTGAGGTGATTACAGTTGTATAACCGCAGAGTTCAAACGACTTCTTAGCCAATACCTCATGTATGTTTTCATTTCTCAACCACTTTGATTAAAATTATTTCCCTTTCTGTGAAAATGTTTCCATGGCAAAAAAAAAAAAAAATGGTCAATTATGAAATCTATGGAACTTTCTCCAGATTGGATTTAATATTGTTGGTATAAAATATTTACTTTCAATTAGTTCTTGGTGAGAAAAAAGTTCTGCATTGTGTCAATATAAGTATAAAATGTAGACAATAAAGATCAACAAAGTTTGTGAAATGAAATAACCTTGACCCATATTCAAGGTCATGGGGGCTGAATTTCTTAATCTTCAAACAACTTTTGAATAACCAAGTAGCCTAGAATGATTTATCAGGTAGGTTCCTAGGACAAATCCTGACAAAGTTAATAAAAATGACCTTGGCCGTGTCCGGTCACACAGTTCAGAGTTGTCTTTCAGAAAATATTGCATCAACTGATAAACAATCCTTGAGTATTATCAACTTAATGGTTAGATTAGAGGGATATACCCACTTTGAATGTGTGATAGAGATTGAATACTTTGTGAGCATTGAAGCCTCACAAGGTTTCTTGTTATACTTTGTGAGCGGTGAAGGCTCACAAGGCCTCTTGTAATACTTTGTGAGCATTGACGGCTCACTAGACCTCTTGTAATACTTTGTGAGTGGTGAAGGCTCACTAGCCCTCTTGTAATACTTTGTGAGCGGTGAAGGCCCACTAGGCCTCTTGTAATACTTTATGAGTGGTGAAGGCTCACTAGGCCTCTTGTAATACTTTGTGAGTGGTGAAGGCTCACTAGCCCTCTTGTTATACTTTATGAGCAGTGAAGGCTCACTAGCCCTCTTGTTATACTTTGTAAGCAGTGAAGGCTCACTAGGCCTCTTGTAATACTTTCTGAGCATTGACGGCTCACTAGACCTCTTGTAATACTTTGTGAGTGGTGAAGGCTCACTAGCCCTCTTGTAATACTTTGTGAGCGGTGAAGGCCCACTAGGCCTCTTGTAATACTTTATGAGTGGTGAAGGCTCACTAGCCCTCTTGTTATACTTTGTGAGCAGTGAAGGCTCACTAGGCCTCTTGTTATACTTTGTAAGCAGTGAAGGCTCTCTAGGCCTCTTGTAATACTTTCTGAGCGGTGAAGGCCCACTAGGCCTCTTGTAATACTTTGTGAGCGGTGAAGGCCCACTAGGCCTCTTGTAATACTTTGTAAGCAGTGAAGGCTCACTAGGCCTCTTGTAATACTTTCTGAGCGGTGAAGGCCCACTAGGCCTCTTGTAATACTTTGTGAGCAGTGAAGGCTCACTAGGCCTCTTGTTATACTTTGTAAGCAGTGAAGGCTCACTAGGCCTCTTGTTATACTTTGTAAGCAGTGAAGGCTCACTAGGCCTCTTGTAATACTTTCTGAGCGGTGAAGGCCCACTAGGCCTCTTGTAATACTTTGTGAGTGATGAAGGCTCTCTAAGCCTCTTGTAATACTTTGTGAGCGATGAAGGCTCTCTAAGCCTCTTGTAATACTTTGTGAGTGGTGAAGGCTCTCTAAGCCTCTTGTAATACTTTCTGAGCGGTGAAGGCTTACAAGGCCTCTTGTAATACTTTGTGAGCGATGAAGGCTCTCTAAGCCTCTTGTAATACTTTGTGAGCGGTGAAGGCCCACTAGGCCTCTTGTAATACTTTGTGAGCGGTGAAGGCTCTCTAAGCCTCTTGTAATACATTGTGAGCGGTGAAGCCTCACTGGGCCTCTTTGTTTTAATTTTGGGTGTAGCTATATGCTTCATTTGATGCCCATTTTTTGTATTGAACAGTATGTGGTGGGATTATTGACGTATCTAGTGGTCCAGCAACTATCCAAAGTCCAAACTACCCAGCTAACTATAATGTGGATACAGGATGCACCTGGCTTGTCAAGGTAGGTTATGTGTTCTTCTCTGTACAGGACATACGACGTTTATCTTAAAGGCAGGTTAAGACATTTGATGTTTGTTACGCTTTGATGATTAAAATGACACGCTTGAAAATTTTGAAATATAATATGACTTCTTAACCAGAAGTCAATGCAACTAAAATACTAACAGTTGTAGTGTCATTTACACATTTTCCCCAATGGGTGTCGTTCATGTGAAATGTTTAACCAAATTTCCAGATAAAAATTTTCATAAATCCAAAGGAAAAAACTGAAATTCTGTGATAATCACCTCCCTTTACTTAAGTTGGAGTAAAATGTTGAGACCTCTGGGCTTATTGTTTTATTAAAACAACAGTGTATAATTAACATGAGGAAATAAGGCATCTCAACGTCTAACAACACGTTGTAGTTTTAATGTCAATATGTTGTAACTGTTTGGCAGCCATTATCAGGACCACTGTTGTAACTGTTAGCCATTATCAGGACGACTGTTGTAACTGTTAGACAGCCATTATCAGGACCACTGTTGTAACTGTTAGACGGCCATTATCAGGGCGACTGTTGTAACTGTTAGACAGCCATTATCAGGACGACTGTTGTAACTGTTAGACAGCCATTATCAGGACGACTGTTGTAACTGTTAGCCATTATCAGGACGACTGTTGTATCTGTTAACCATTATCAGGACGTCTGTTGTAACTGTTAGACAGCCATTATCAGGACGACTGTTGTAACTGTTAGCCATTATCAGGACTGTTGTAACTGTTAGACAGCCATTATCAGGGCGACATGTTGTAACTGTTAGCCATTATCAGGGCGACATGTTGTAACTGTTAGACAGCCATTATCAGGACGACTGTTGTAACTGTGCGGCAGCCATTATCAGGACGACTGTTGTAACTGTTAGACAGCCATTATCAGGACGACTGTTGTAACTGTTAGACAGCCATTATCAGGACGACTGTTGTAACTGTTAGCCATTATCAGGACGACTGTTGTAACTGTTAGACAGCCATTATCAGGACGACTGTTGTAACTGTTAGACAGCCATTATCAGGACGACTGTTGTAACTGTTAGACAGCCATTATCAAGACGACTGTTGTAACTGTTAGCCATTATCAGGGCGACTGTTGTAACTGTTAGACAGCCATTATCAAGACGACTGTTGTAACTGTTAGCCATTATCAGGGCGACTGTTGTAACTGTTAGACAGCCATTATCAAGACGACTGTTGTAACTGTTAACCATTATCAGGACCACTGTTGTAACTGTTAGCCATTATCAGGACGACTGTTGTAACTGTTAGACAGCCATTATCAGGACGACTGTTGTAACTGTTAGACAGCCATTATCAAGACGACTGTTGTAACTGTTAGCCATTATCAGGACGACTGTTGTAACTGTTAGACAGCCATTATCAGGACGTCTGTTGTAACTGTTGGACAGCCATTATCAGGACGACTGTTGTAACTGTTAACCATTATCAGGACGTCTGTTGTAACTGCCATTATACTGTTGTAACAGCCATTATCAGGACGACTGTTGTAACTGTTAGACAGCCATTATCAGGACGATGTGTTGCAACTGTTAGACAGCCATTATCAGGACGACTGTTGTAACTGTTAGCCATTATCAGGACGACTGTTGTAACTGTTAGACAGCCATTATCAGGACGATGTGTTGCAACTGTTAGACAGCCATTATCAGGACGTCTGTTGTAACTGTTAGACAGCCATTATCAGGACGACTGTTGTAACTGTTAGCCATTATCAGGACGACTGTTGTAACTGTTAGACAGCCATTATCAGGACGACTGTTGTAACTGTTAGACAGCCATTATCAGGACGACTGTTGTAACTGTTAGACAGCCATTATCAGGACGACTGTTGTAACTGTTAGACAGCCATTATCAAGACGACTGTTGTAACTGTTAGCCATTATCAGGACGACTGTTGTAACTGTTAGACAGCCATTATCAGGACGTCTGTTGTAACTGTTGGACAGCCATTATCAGGACGACTGTTGTAACTGTTAACCATTATCAGGACGTCTGTTGTAACTGTTAGACAGCCATTATCAGGACGACTGTTGTAACTGTTAGCCATTATCAGGACGACTGTTGTAACTGTTAGACAGCCATTATCAGGACGATGTGTTGCAACTGTTAGACAGCCATTATCAGGACGACTTTTGTAACTGTGAGGCGGCCATTATCAGGACGTCTATTTTTTGTGTATTTTTCTTTACAGATTAGCTTATATCCAATTACATAAGAAAGATAAATGCTATTGCACATAGTTTTAGGAATGTCTTAATTTTCTATATGGTGACATTTAGACCATCATAAAAAGGAGAACTGTTCTTGCATGTTGAAGCCTAAAAGATAGGAGTGATGATTCTTCCTTAACAGTCTCTAAAAGATAGGAGTGATGATTCTTCCTTAACAGTCTCTAAAAGATAGGAGTGATGATTCTTCCTTAACAGTCTCTAAAAGATAGGAGTGATGATTCTTCCTTAACAGTCTCTAAAAGATAGGAGTGATGATTCTTCCTTAACAGTCTCTAAAAGATAGGAGTGATGATTCTTCCTTAACAGTCTCTAAAAGATAGGAGTGATGATTCTTAACAGTCTCTAAAAGATAGGAGTGATGATTCTTCCTTAACAGTCTCTAAAAGATAGGAGTGATGATTCTTCCTTAACAGTCTCTAAAAGATAGGAGTGATGATTCTTCCTTAACAGTCTCTAAAAGATAGGAGTGATGATTCTTAACAGTTTCTAAAAGATAGGAGTGATGATTCTTCCTTAACAGTCTCTAAAAGATAGGAGTGATGATTCTTCCTTAACAGTCTCTGAAAGATAGGAGTGATGATTCTTAACAGTCTCTAAAAGATAGGAGTGATGATTCTTCCTTAACAGTCTCTAAAAGATAGGAGTGATGATTCTTCCTTAACAGTCTCTAAAAGATAGGAGTGATGATTCTTCCTTAACAGTTTCTAAAAGATAGGAGTGATGATTCTTCCTTAACAGTTTCTAAAAGATAGGAGTGATGATTCTTCCTTAACAGTCTCTAAAAGATAGGAGTGATGATTCTTCCTTAAGTCTCTGAAAGATAGGAGTGATGATTCTTCCTTAACAGTCTCTAAAAGATAGGAGTGATGATTCTTCCTTAACAGTCTCTAAAAGATAGGAGTGATGATTCTTCCTTAACAGTCTCTAAAAGATAGGAGTGATGATTCTTCCTTAACAGTCTCTAAAAGATAGGAGTGATGATTCTTCCTTAACAGTCTCTAAAAGATAGGAGTGATGATTCTTCCTTAACAGTCTCTAAAAGATAGGAGTGATGATTCTTCCTTAACAGTCTCTAAAAGATAGGAGTGATGATTCTTCCTTAACAGTCTCTAAAAGATAGGAGTGATGATTCTTCCTTAACAGTCTCTAAAAGATAGGAGTGATGATTCTTCCTTAACAGTCTCTAAAAGATAGGAGTGATGATTCTTCCTTAACAGTCTCTAAAAGATAGGAGTGATGATTCTTCCTTAACAGTCTCTAAAAGATAGGAGTGATGATTCTTCCTTAACAGTCTCTAAAAGATAGGAGTGATGATTCTTCCTTAACAGTTTCTAAAAGATAGGAGTGATGATTCTTCCTTAACAGTCTCTAAAAGATAGGAGTGATGATTCTTCCTTAACAGTTTCTAAAAGATAGGAGTGATGATTCTTCCTTAACAGTCTCTAAAAGATAGGAGTGATGATTCTTCCTTATTTTCTAAAAGATAGGAGTGATGATTCTTCCTTAACAGTTTCTAAAAGATAGGAGTGATGATTCTTCCTTAACAGTCTCTAAAAGATAGGAGTGATGATTCTTCCTTAACAGTTTCTAAAAGATAGGAGTGATGATTCTTCCTTAACAGTCTCTAAAAGATAGGAGTGATGATTCTTCCTTATCATTTTCTAAAAGATAGGAGTGATGATTCTTCCTTAACAGTCTCTAAAAGATAGGAGTGATGATTCTTCCTTAACAGTCTCTAAAAGATAGGAGTGATGATTCTTCCTTAACAGTCTCTAAAAGATAGGAGTGATGATTCTTCCTTAACAGTTTCTAAAAGATAGGAGTGATGATTCTTCCTTAACAGTCTCTAAAAGATAGGAGTGATGATTCTTCCTTATCATTTTCTAAAAGATAGGAGTGATGATTCTTCCTTAACAGTCTCTAAAAGATAGGAGTGATGATTCTTCCTTAACAGTTTCTAAAAGATAGGAGTGATGATTCTTCCTTAACAGTCTCTAAAAGATAGGAGTGATGATTCTTCCTTATCATTTTCTAAAAGATAGGAGTGATGATTCTTCCTTAACAGTCTCTAAAAGATAGGAGTGATGATTCTTCCTTAACAGTTTCTAAAAGATAGGAGTGATGATTCTTCCTTAACAGTTTCTAAAAGATAGGAGTGATGATTCTTCCTTAACAGTCTCTAAAAGATAGGAGTGATGATTCTTCCTTAAGTCTCTGAAAGATAGGAGTGATGATTCTTCCTTAACAGTTTCTAAAAGATAGGAGTGATGATTCTTCCTTAACAGTCTCTAAAAGATAGGAGTGATGATTCTTCCTTAACAGTTTCTAAAAGATAGGAGTGATGATTCTTCCTTAACAGTCTCTAAAAGATAGGAGTGATGATTCTTCCTTAAGTCTCTGAAAGATAGGAGTGATGATTCTTCCTTAAGTTTCTAAAAGATAGGAGTGATGATTCTTCCTTAACAGTCTCTAAAAGATAGGAGTGATGATTCTTCCTTAACATTTTCTAAAAGATAGGAGTGATGATTCTTCCTTAACAGTCTCTAAAAGATAGGAGTGATGATTCTTCCTTAACACTTTCTAAAAGATAGGAGTGATGATTCTTCCTTAACAGTCTCTAAAAGATAGGAGTGATGATTCTTCCTTAACATTCTCTAAAGGTGATGACAAATTACATCTTAAATTGTATAACAACTGATAGCCCATGTCCGTTAAAAATCCCATCCTTATATATTTCTATACAACAAGAACTATGTCCCTCTACCTTACCAGATTATTGAGTCAGAAGTCTGACATACAGCCGGATGTATTCAGTCATTACAATTTACTCTATTTTACAGACTAATCCTGATGAGTATGTTCGATTAGATATTGATGACCTTCACCTCAGCGATAACGGTGCAGGCAGATGCTACCACTGGCTAGAAGTTCAATACAATCTGCTTGGCCAAACAGGACCAAGGTATGGTATTCAAAACTTTCAATCTATACAGTATGATTGGTCTATCAGGAACAGCATGAATTCCCTATTTGATTGACCAATCAGGACCATAGCATGAATTTTGTAAAATCTGATTGACCAATCATGATCATATCATGAACAATATACAATCTGATTGACCAATCAGAACCATGATATGAATTTTGTAAAATCTGATTGACCAATCTGAATACTCATCTGACGAAAGGCTGTGTCTTGGACTACTGGATGGTTCATTCTGAAATTTCAATGTTTTGGATACCCGTGATCCATAGTTGTATATGGCTATTTTGACAGATAAGGAAAACACCCTATTGGGTAGACAAGTGTCTTTTTTAAAAAGAAGAAAACAGAAAAAATTTATGAAGTTAAAAGCTTTGAGAATGTCAAGTTGACATTCCACATATGCACATACTCGTACCATACACAAGTTTCTAAAAACAAAATCCATAAATTTTATACTCGCTGAAAAACTGGGACAAAATTATGATAAAGTGTTTGTTTTCAAACTTTGATTTGTCATGAGATCTCCTCCCACAGTTTTGAACTGATCTATTTCAAAGAACTTAGTACATGAAGGCATAAGCACAGGCAAGAAGTTGTTTTCTAAAATGGCAGTTTCCTGCGACTGTATTTGGAAGAGTTACTGCCCATTGTTGTTTTCATAGTGTTCATCTTGTCCGAAGATCTCGGGTTCCCAAACAGTTTCTTCTGGAACTTTGTAGGCTTATTTCATCATGACATTAAGTTGTTTTCCTAAGCAGCAGCAGTGTAGATCAGCAATTTTTGAAGGAGTTATTGCCATTTTTTAAAGCATTGATATGGAGATCTACTCTTGCTTTTTCACCGATTTCTGTTTAAGACTCAATAACCATTACACAAGATGGTGTTTTTCTTAATGGTATTGCAATATTACAATTTTCGGAAGTTATTTTGGTCCCCTGCAAAAATATTCTTAATACTCAAATGTAGTAGAATCAGATACTTCACTTAGATGGAAGGATCAGGTAGTGCTTTACCAAAATAGTCAAGTTTCATGACCTTGGGGAACTAGTATTTGCCCTGGGTAAAAGTTTACTATACTTTATATAGGAAAGTTGCATTTTTAAGCATAATTTGTTTTATATTCTGTTGGAAATATATCAAATTGAGTTAGAATTATTAGTATAGGATTAGTTTGATGTTGTACACATATTGACCCTGGATGACCCCAAAGGGATGATGGCGGGGCTAAAAGGGATCAAATTGACTGAAATTTCAAGAATCTACTCATTACCCAAATATGGTAAAACTAAAAACTCTTCATGGATGTAAAAATCTGCTGTCCATATAGCATTTCTCATTTCCTCTGCTCTATACAGTGCATTGAAATTTAAGGAATTGTTAATCTGCAGTAACTAGTGGCCTAGGGACCTAAACAGTCACCTGTGAACTCACAAAGACAATTAATTGAATAAATAATTATTCAAAATATTTTGCTCCGCTCCACTGTACTCTTCCAGCATGTTACTGTAAACACATTTATTTATTTATTTTCTGTTTTTTTACCCTTATTTTGTTGTGTGTAAGTGCTATATAGCTATTCATCATCATTTAGACGATGTGGAGATGTCGCTGGAGAGAACTACATTACATCTGTGGATGGAAACCAAAACCTCATGTTGCTACGATTTGACAGCAAGTTTAGTAATGACCGTCCGAGCAGCCAGGGTTTCAGTCTCCGAGTCCGTTCTGTTCTGGCTGGTGAGTGTTTAATTTGAATCCCCTTTTGGGTATCTGTAATATAAGTGATTAATTTTGATCTGTATAACCAATGAAATCTTTGTTTCCAATGTTGTTTCCAATGTTGATTACAAAGCTGAACATCTTTTTTTTTCCAAAAATAAATGAAATATCTAAAATTATCTGTCCAATTTTAAGGATGTTTTTTCCAGTGAATAAAGGCAAAATTTTCTGTAATTTCATTTAGCAAAGAAACTGAATTCAAATTAAAAATGTAATTTAACTTCACCTGTTCAAAAAAAAAATCATAGGTCCTTATAGATTGTCTATTCCTTAGGAATGAATTGAACATTGAACAGATTTATGAAACAGATCAGTAACATCTGTATATACTGTGGACATAGGTTCAAGATTACTGCTCTAAATTGTTCAATATTAAACCACAGACATCTTCAAAGAATATTGTGTACATTATCTGTTTGTCACAAAAATAAATTTTTGTTGCAATTTCTTTCATTTGCAAATGCTTGAGTAAACTGTATGCCAAAGAAAGTTGGTTTATGGAAAGAAAGTTGGTTTATGGAAAGAAAGTTGGTTTACAATAGATTCTATGAAGATATATTTTGTTTTACAGCCCATTGTCTACTTTTGTTATAAGAATGAAATGAGTACTCTTGTTTTCAGGTTGTTCCAATAACCCATGCTATAATGGAGGCTGTAGTGCTACACAAGATGGACAGTTTACATGTACATGTTATGATCGATACACTGGGGTTACCTGTGATATACCACCAGGTAAGAATATTATTAAAAAGTGGAATTTACATTTTAGGGAAAAAGGTTTTACAATGAAAATAACTGGTTAAGGATGATGGATTAAATTTTTCAAGAAACTCTCCAGAATTGATCATGTGTTGCTGGTGAATTATAACCTTTACAAGCACTCCTTGGCACTTAGTTTCCTGTTGACTTTGATACAGACGAGATCCTGGTCCCTAAACCTTACTTAGCGATGCTGGGAGAGATCAACACATGATGTAAGAACTGGCCCTTGGGTTTGGCTCCACCCCTCTGGACTTAATTTCTAGGTTATATCTTTGAAAGAGTTGACATCTCCACCCCTGTAACCAAATATAGAATTACTTAGCGTCAAGAGATTACATTCATGATATAAGGATTGACCCACGGGTGTAACTTACCTCTTGGGACTTAATTTCTGTGTCACATTTTGGGAACGATCAAGATCACAACCTAATAACCATATGAACTCCTATTGGGCATCAGGAGAAAAAGTCCTGATATAAGAAATTACCCATTGATCTTGGCCTGCCACAGAGGTTAAGTGACTGAGCATTGAAATTGAAAGAAATTGAGCATTGAGATTTCTGTGCTTTTTTGTGATTATCACATACTTGCTATAGAACTGGTGATATGCAATACAGAAATAATTACGATAGTATGTCCAAGAGTTTCTGCCAACCCTTGGTAAGAATGGCTTGCTGGAGCCTCATTCTAATGTTTTTCGTTGACAGCTGATGCTTCATTTTCCTGTGGCTATGACAACAATGAGCAGTGTTTCCTTTCACAGGCCACGGACGATCAGTTTGACTGGACTACAATATCAGTAAGTAAAAACTAGTTTATATTGTTTGGCTTAATTGTTCATTGGTGATTTTCTTCATCTGGACATCCTATTTCAGACCAAATTAGGACAGAATCTTCCTTCAGAAGAGGTGTTTCGAAGAATTTGATCCATTTCTCCTCTTTGCTAAGCTCTTCTTGCCCCAGGGTAGGAGACTCGCCATTTATACACAATACATTCCTTTTCATACAAGTATATTTCAAATTACATTAGAACAGGATATTGGTATTCCTTCAGAAGATGAAGGACTTTGCTCTATTCTATTGGACCTTCCACTCCTGTCCCAAGGACCCAGACCCAGTTTATGCCTTGTGTATTTTTTTTTGCTATAAACTTTAATTGGAAGTGTAGCACATGTTTAAACATCTATGGGTTGTGAAACAAGCTGTCACAATAATGTTATCAGGTAACTCCATCAACTTTTGCATTCAAAACAGGTTCTCGGTTACCTACAACTGGCCTATATTTGCACAGTTCATTTCTCCTTCAATAGACGGATCTAAACACCAGTTTAAAAGTGTATTATATGAACACATGTGCTTAATGTCACTGTCAGTACATTGTTCTGGGGCATCCTTGGGTGCATGGGACATAATTGTGGTTACAAACAGTAGGTCAGACCCTCTTGGTATAGAGAGACAGGGTTCTGCAAGGGGAAAAAAAGAAGTAAAGTTTTGATATCATTTAGGGTGAAGGAATTTTGATTAAATTTTGATCAAACACATTCTTGGGGAGAGAGGAAAAGATTGTTTAAATAATAGATGTTGGCTCCCATTGGAGCAGACGGGAGGAAAGAGGGGCCTGAGAGAAATCTGTAATGTCCTTGAAAGTCGTCCTGATGAAACCAACCCCTGCTGTCTTGTCCACCTCTCCTTCAGTCTATAGGAAATTTTTTTTGGACAATTGCTTGGATTTTTAAGCAATTTTCAATGAAGCTGCACAAGAATGTCGGGGACCATGTATAGTAGAAATCTTGCTTTGCCATGTTGATAATCAGGCCGACATAAACATGCTTTTGTGTAATGGCCCATACCTCATCAGTCCTTTGATTAATTATAATCATTACTGGCACTGAAGAAGTTTTAGTTTTCGATTAATCAAAATAAAAAATTTGAAAATAAAGTAATGTCATTTTTTTTCTTAAATTCTCCAACAGACAAGTTTTTCAAACTTTGCATGTTTTTTATTTTCAGGTTTTTCTGGAAATCAAAATGTAGAAAATAAAATACTGTGCTTTGTGTGAATTGGATTTCAGGCTTAGAATTGGTTTTTATCTATTTGTCCAGACACCTACTCCCTCCAGTGGCACTGGTCCAGACCAGGCACAGTCAGGAAATAACTATCTATATGCCGAAATGTCCAGCCCACGGGTACAAGGAGATGTGGCTCGTATGGTGTCGCATTTTGATTTCACAGGTAGTGTTAAAATAGGAAATCCTGGAGATGTCTCATTTATGCATTCTAAGTCTATATTGAGTGTCTATTGCATGCAGCTGTGTCCTAAGAGAGTTCACAAGAAGTACACAACAGAATTTCTTTTGCATAAGAATTTTTCTGCCGAGGCCTTAAGTTTTTATGTGTTTGAATATTTTCATTATTGAAATGTTCTATTAAATCTCGAGGGTTCTGTGCCTCAAAGGTTGCCAGCAGTCTCGTGGCTTCATTCCTTTAGGGATTCTCATTAAACTTCACACATTTATTAAGCATCAAGTTATCTTCAAGTTTCAATTTCAGGATTGTTGGGTCAAGGTCACTGTTAATGTTTCAAATCTATCATTAATAAAAAAAAATTTGTATGCTCACCAATAGACAGATGTCTGTCTCATGTTTTTTTTCATATTTGACTTTTGTTTTTTAGAAATGCCAAGATGCCTGAGATTCTGGTACTTCATGTTTGGAAGCACTGTTGGTCAGTTGGCTGTTGCTGTGTCTGGTACAACGACAGCCAAGTCAACAGTTTGGTCACTAAGTGGTGATCAAGGGCAGTCTTGGAATCTCGTATCTCTAGATATAGCCTCAACTGCTGGATTAAGGGTATGTAGTGAAATTTGATGTGTTCATGATAAATCCTTGTATTTCTCTACTGCTTTTGTGACCCCATGTCTACCCCTAACCATTACATATCCAATAAATGTGATGCTGTATACCTGGTTATTTTTGTGGGGATAATTTTCGCTATTACACCATACATTAACTTTACCACTAAAATTTAATCCAAGAAATATTTAAAACATGTACAGTATATTGGACGTTCTTTAATATCCAGGTCTCAATTTTTTTATTCATAAAAATATGATTTGACCATTTTAAAAGAAATTGAAAATTTTCACCCATGATAATGACCAGCTATATGGTAGTTGAACATGTGATAATGCTTAAATTATATTACTTTGCGTGGGGTAATTGTAAGGTGTCAAGGTCATCCTCGATAGAAACCTAACTGATATGCAAATCTATGGTGATATGTCTTGCTTTTAGACTGTTCACTTTATTCAAATTTTCATTCCTCCAACATATACCATCAAACCCTTTATTTCCATGGGGATCATATTCTCACTTTTTCATGAACTATAAACAAAATTGCAAAAATCAAATTTTAAATCGTAAAATAATGACACATGTTTAAAGTTTGTCATTAGTATTACCATGAGACAAGTTGACGATTCCTACGCTATTGTGCATGGAATCATAAAATATAGAAAATTGTCGAGTCCCTTATTTGGTTCTGGTCCACTCATTTCACAAGAGGTATTGGCTCAAAAGTTCAGGAATTGATTTGTTTGTGCTGGGACTGAAATTTGATTGGATATTTTCTTTTTGCACCTAGTCTACAATCAGTTTTCTTCAGTGAGCAGCCTTGTCAGCCAATACCTGACAATCTGATAAGTCTTGTCTTTGGAGAGGGATGCTTATGCAAATAAGAATGTTATTAAGCAATGGCTCGTAATAAAAACTGCTATGTATAAATTTAATTGGATATCATCACATGCTTTTCCAGGTAAGACAGCCCTACTTTCTAATAATTAGAAGTTTTTGTTAATTTAAAAAATCTATAAATCCTTTTGTATTTAACTGATCATTTAAAGCAAAATAAGATAAAAAATTGTCTCCTTTGTAGATTTTCTTTGAGGCCACAAGAGGAAGCAGCTGGAATTCAGACATTGCCATTGACACTTTAGAATTAACACCTGGCTCGTGCTGTAAGTATAATTCTAAGGAATTTGGTCATATAAGAAATCAAAATGACTAACGAGCAAATCGGTGTGACTTGGCATTCAAAAGGAACATCCCTCTAGCAATATTTGATCTCATTTGATATGAAAGTGATGTCAGTTCAGAAATTGATCTTAGGTAATGGTTTTTGTGTCGCCTGCAGAGCTGGCGGACATTTAGGGATCACTTTGTCCGTCGTCACGTGTCGGCGGCGTCCATACAAAAGTTTTCAGACTTTTTTCAGTAATGCTTTGAGTTATCAAAATGAAATTTGGCATATGGCTTTTTGTTCCAAGTGTACAGATTAAGTTCAATTCCTGGCTGTCTGTGACCCTTTTTGGTAGAGTTAAGCCCCTTTCAACTTTGAAAATTTCCTGGGAATATTGTTTTCTTGACTTTCTTTGGTTATGCTTCGAGTTATGAAAATGCAATTTTGTATACGAGTTCTTGGTCAAAAGTTATGCACCAAGTTCGCTTCTTGGCAGTCTGTAACCCTTCTTGGCAGTGATATGTCCCTTTGAACTTGGAAAATTTCTCAGGAATATTGCTTTGCGCAGTTTTCCCATTATGCTTCAAGTTATAGAAATGAAATTTGGTATTACAACTTTATGGTTGATCGTTGCACATCCAGTTCAACTTCTGGGTGACCGTGACACTTTATGCAGGTGACACATTCAGTTCTGAGGAACTCTTGTATTAAGCTAAAGGTAACTGGTTACATTTCTGCCTATAGTCACAGACTTTAGTCTAGATATTACTTCTAATTTTAGCTTTCTGATTGGTTGAAAAATGCCAATGAGTTCACCATGCCATCTAGTGGCAGTGGTATGTTCAGTGTTGGTATTTATGATTGCTATGAAACATGACACTAAAAACAACATAAAACTGACAAGACTAGGTGTTCAGTGGTCAGTGTATTTTCATGTCGTTCTACAATCGTTCTGTAGCATGTGATTATACCCATATTAAAAAACAGAAATATTACCAATAGGATATAACATAGATTAAAACCTTCTCGTCCAGTCTAAAGATGGAAAAACAGTGTTAGAGACCATGATGGGAAACCATGACTGATTCTGCTGTACCTCTGACACAAATTTAATTTTCTTCAAACACTTCCGATCTACGGTTCAAAACTCATTTTCACAGCTCTTTTGTCCATTAACATGCATAAAGTCACCCTTGTTGCTGGGTTTCGATGCATGCATCATATTTTCGTAATAAGACAGGAATCGTACAACTTAACATCCGATTCCTGCACCTCTATATATTTATAAACAGCATTATCTCTGAGACGGTTATATTCAGACTATAGGTCTCTGGTAGATGTAAGCAATTCTGTTTGTGGTATATGTATTATACAGACATTCACAAGCGTTGAAGCAAAATCACGATACACAATTTTTTACCAATTTTTGTAATTGCATTTATATATCAATGTATCGCATATATGAACAAATGACAGTTGGTTTTCCCTGAAATATACACATAGAGAGGTTAACTTATGATCATAAAAGGAAATAGTTTTCTTTTGATATGTAAATTTCTCTCATATTACGCATGCACAAAAACATGGTCGCCTTTAAACAAAATGGCTGCCAGCCTAAATTGGTTGATACAATGTTGTTGTCACTTATTTCGTAATCCTGAATTGACTTGGTTGTAAAGTACCATTTGCCACACCCATTCAAAAATACGGTGCTGAATAACATCATTTACCTACTGTGTCACTACTTATTTAGTTATAAAGTAACATTTGCTACACCCATTCAAACATCCGGTGCTGAATAACATCATTTACCTACTGTGTCACTACTCTTACTGGACATTGGAAATTGATAGTAAATAACGGAACAGCATAGAAACCTAAACAGAAGAATAAAAACCCCACAATCAATAACAGAATGAATGTGTTCATGGTGATATGTAGCATACATTGTCATTTACAATATCTGATACCCAGTACATATAAACACCATTCCAACCACTATAGCTGGGACAACTCAAGCACCTACCACACCAGCGCCTACCACACCAGCGCCTACCACACCAGCGCCTACCACACCAGCGCCTACCACACCAGCGCCTACCACTCCAGCGCCTACTACAACTCCACCGCCTACAACTCCAGTGCCAACAACTCAAGCACCTGATGCCTGTACACCAAATCCATGCAACAATGGGGGAACGTGCGTCATCAATAATGGAGCTGTGTGTTCTTGTGCCGCAGGATTTGCTGGACAATTTTGTGACTCGACTGGTATGCTTATTTAAATTTACAGGTCAGATTTAACCAGTAAAGTAGGGTTTTTTGCCACTTTAAATAAAAGTGAAACTGATTTAAGTTTCATTTTAAGAATTAGATGTTTCAATGCTTTTTAAGTTGCTGCACAGTTGAATCATTGTACAAACATGCTGTAAAAGAAAATAGATTAAAGTTTTTTTGTTACCTTTTTCATTTAGAATGCTTTTAGATATTTCAAGCTCAACTATTTGAAGAGCAGTTCACAAATGTGTTATTCATTGATAATGAAGTTCTGTAGCATTAAGTTGCCCAGTTTTACTATGATATGATCCAAAAAAATGTTTATTTATAGAAATAGAGTAATATCAGCCCCCTACAAGGGTTGAAATTATTTGGTTTTTAATTTTTTTCATACATTATGTGTAACCTCAGTTACCGTAAATATTCGTGTATAGTGCGCACTTTTTTAAGCTGAAACTGTCGTGTCAAAAAGGGGGTGCGCACTATACGCAGGTACATGCCATTCCTGGGGTTATCATTCCTGAGTTCTGCATCCGCCATATTGGATTACCTCCCTTCACATAGTTATATGTAAAAGTCGTCGGTCTTATATGATAGTTTGGAGATAAAAACAACAAAAAATTAAAATAAGATATATTTCAAATGTTTTAATCATCTGCCATTCACGCTAGCATCACGGTGAATCTAATTTTTATTCATTTCCCGTCGGTCTTACTATTGGTCGGGGCTATAGTAGTGTCTGAATTTCTGCCTCATTTTGATGATGTATCTGTGGAATTCAATGAATCCGGAAGTTTTTAGGCGATTGTCGTTCTGTTCATAAATCGGACAGCCCATCCCACCGATGCCCAAAGTTGGTGACCCCATGACCTCTCTTGATCTGCATGGCCCGCACGCGCAGTTCTGTTGTACTGGCAGCGATGCCGGGATATCGGCGATCGCATACAAAGTTGAACAGCTCTCTCTCTCTCCATCTCTGGGTGTTTCGCTGTCGCACCTATATCAGCCCTTCTGGTCAGTGGTTGGGACTTTAGATGGTCTTTTCTTTCTTCCGTGCCTTGATATTTCACTCTGGAATGTCGAAGTGGCGACCGGCGGCACGAAACTCCAGTCTCTTGGCGTAGTCAAATGGTGTTTGCAGTTTCCCCATGTCGAAGTCGGTGTAAACAATCTATCATTAAATACCTTCGGATACCGCGGTGGGTACAGATACCATGAAAGATCATGCCTATACTGAACAAACCACCTGCTTTTATGGGGACAAGGTAGGATTGAAAATGTTCAGACAGTTAAAACAACATCGTTTTCTGACCAATAGTACGCGTTCAGCTCAAGCCGGGTGTCATCAGTCTCCTCATACTCAACGTGTTAACTGTCATTAACCGTTAATTATATAATCAGCCAAGCCTTTCATGCTTGTTAGGTCACCTGGGTAAATTTGTTTACTTAAGGTAATTACATGTGTTGGGGTCACGCTCATTGTGGTTTCCTAATTATCAATGGATCAGACCACATCAAATGTTTCGTCGCAGTGACCAGTCATTTAATTTTTCTGTAGATTTTTTTTTTTAATCTGATCTCCAAAAAGTACCTGCGCACTATACGCGAATATTTACGGTATATACTTGGTCATGATTTGCCTTCTCTGAATTTCAGTGGCTGAGTTTTACCACTGCACCTTTGAAAATGCAAATGCAGAGTGCTTCCTCAGGGATGCGACCAATGATGATTATGACTGGACTTTAAATTCCGTGAGTATATGTCCAGCTGTTGTTCTTGTTGTTCATCAGTCCCTTGTAAAAGTGTAACAGTGATCTTTTGTCACTTCCACCAGGAATGCCAGTCATAATGAAATCTCCTAAAACATTAGTGGTCCTAATTGGATCCTACAAAATAACATGCATATATATCATTTCTAGCTCACCTGTTCCAAGAAACGGTGAGCTTATGCTGTACTGTGTGTGTCAATTGTCTGTCCGTCCATCACTTTTTTACAAAATACTGCTAGTCATGAGAGACTGAGCAGATTTTGACCTTTTCAGTCAAAAGCATCCTTTGGGATGGAGCTTTGTATAAATGTTCGATCGTAGTCGCCAGGGAAGAAAGTCCAAGAGAAAAGTTTGCAAGTTTTACAAAATACTGCTAGTCATGAGAGACTGAGCAGATTTTGACCTTTTCAGTCAAAAGCATCCTTTGGGATGGAGCTTTGTATAAATGTTCGATCGTAGTCACCAGGGAAGAAAGTCCAAGAGAAAAGTTTGCAAGTTTTAAATCTACTTCTGTAGGAATTATTGGATTTTGCCTGAATTCGGTCTACAAAAGCATCCTTGGGTGAAGAGGAATGAATTTTGTCTTACTGGTGGGTCTCTATCTTCTTTTACTTGCTTTTAGGAGAAATAGAGCAATTTCTTAAAACTGCTTTTGTAGTAATGTAAGGATTATGTCCCAATTTAGTCTGAAATGTCCTTGGATGAAGGGTATACAATTTTGTGTAATTGTTTGGCCACAAAGCGGTAAATGTAAAGGTGCTTTTGGACATCATGTATAGGGATATAGTTGTTGATTTTAGTTGTCCGGCTTTCTGAAATCTGACAATTTAACAATGTTTGAAGTCTGACAGTTTTCGAGCACGATATAGAGTGAATCCTATACCAAATTAGAAAAATCTGTCGATTCTGACCACTCACAGCGAGATATGTCAAATGGTTCTGTGACCATTACATCTCGTTTAGGTAAGGCCGACATAGTTACTTGTTTCTAAGTGTATGTGTGTGTTGATGAGGCTGGTACCTGTATAATCACCTTACAGCATGTTTTGTTGTTGTGAAACAAATGACGTTGGCACCAGCCACATCATCATTGTACATGTTTATGATAATTGGAAAATAGTGCAAATTTAAGAATTCATAATATACTATAAAGATTCATGGGTGCAGGGCTGTGCTGATTTCTTTCAAGGCATTTTCCATAGGAGTAATAGTATTTATAACTGTCCATACACGACATCATTTGGTGAAGACACTACATTGTTCTCATTCCAGGGATCAACACCATCCTCAGGTACTGGACCTAGCAGTGCACAATCCGGTGCTAACTATATATACTTTGAAGTTTCCAGCCCTGTTACTAATGGAGACACTGCCCTATTGGAGACTTATACTATCTTACCTGGTAAATTATTTCTTTGTTGTCGTTTTAGGTGTTTGTGTGATGACTTCTCCAAAAAAAAAAAAATGCAGATCAATCGTTGTAGTGGGTTAAAGTATTACCCGTCTTCCCATGCAGTTGTTATTTTCTGACGGTTAAATATATAAAGTTACTAGAGTTATTGATTATTATGTCGGCCAACCCATCATAATACAAAGTCATTTCTTCAGTTAACAATTTTCATATTTGATGTTCTCATTTGTCCCTTGCAAATATCTGATTATAACTAAAAAGTTCTTACAAAGTGCCAAGATCCCTCATGGATCTCTTGTTTTAGATGAATGACATTTACTTTCTTTCATCTGAGTTTGCAGTCTGAAATATTTGTATTTTTTCCATTAACGATAGAATTTGAAATTAAGGTTGTGTGACATCACTTGTATTTAACAGCTCAAGATCGCTGCCTTTCCTTTTGGTATTCAATGAATGGACCAGGTGTGGGTTCTCTAATTGTTTCTACATCAAGCTCTGGTGCACTTTGGACTAGATCTGGTGACCAGGGAAATGCTTGGATTAGAGCTACTTTGGACCTCCCAATGGATCCTAACTTTCAGGTTTGATTGCACTTACATGTACATACAAAAACATAAAGATTGTGATGTGTGTACTTTTCTAGTTTCGGAAGTTTGAACTAGGATACATCTCTCGCTAATCAATGCCAGTAAGGCAACCTGTACTTGTCTCCTACATTACTCCCTCCTTCACAAAGTTGTTGACCCTGATGACAACCCAGGTTCAATATCTCCAAGGAAGCATCTTGATCTCCTATAGCTTCTACCTATTGGAGTGGAAAAAATTTGTATAGGAAAGAGCAATAAAATATATTTGCCCCTACTGTGGTTTGAAATGGCTTGTCTTTGCTGAATGCAGCCAAACTTCTACACGCAGGCTGAGAAATCCCTGTTCATTGAACCGGATCATGTTTGTTTTTCTCGCGTACACAAAAAAGATGAAATAGTATATTGTGATACATGTTGATCTTGCCATTATCAGTTTCCTATGAAATCTGCATCAAAATTGATGTCGGTTTGTGATAAAGGTATGAGTTACATAAGATATGGCACTACCCTGTTTTGAGTAGAATCATAGTGCAAGTTATTTTTTCCTTTTCTTACCAAGGGAAAAGATATTTCTGTCAAAAACCCTAATGCACCTGTTTATGGTTATAGTGATTTCATAGGGAAATCTTGTTTCCTTGAATGAAGTTGCTAGTATTGGACACTTGTTGGTGGTTTCATTGTTAACCTTGTTCTGTTCTAGAGTTGTGACATGGATCAAATCAAGTGACATTTAAATGCCAGACGTTGTCATTGAAGCAGAAGACACTTTCTCTTCTACAGCACCTGGTCATTGTACTTTTTCAGGATTCTAAAAAAGTTTTCAGTCAGTTGTTCCACTTCAGTGAAATTTCTATGGAGTTATGTCAAGTTTTACTTTCATAGTATGTAGAATGAGAAATAATGTTATAGAAATTGAGATTGCTTTTGTAGATTTTCATTCTACTGGTGTTTCAGCTTTTTATTGAAGCCTCACGTGGAAGTCATTGGAATGGTGATATTGCCTTGGATGAAATTGAACTTACAGATGGCTTATGTCGTAAGTATCGACTGCAACCTGTCAAAATAAAAAAAGTGATGTTTCAAGTGTAGGGTATTTTAAAATCGGTAGATGGAAGAAAAAATAAATGAAGAGATCTGTTTGTATCCGTCTACCTTGAAATAGGATAGAAAATACAAGGATACACCAGAACAAAAAGAACTTAAAATGTATTTTGAAAGATATAAAAGATCGAGGGAAACAAAAATTAAATTAAAGGTAAATAAATGTTAATGAAAGCTTGAAATGGAACGGCAGCCGGGGTATTTTTATCAATTTAGAAGATAAACATTGATCTCACTTTAAATCAAGGTCATCTGGTCATTATGTAGGCCCTTGTTACTACAATCAAACTTCTATGAATTTAACTTTAATAATTAAAATTTCTTGTATCAAATTTTTTAGCTGGTGCCGAATTTTATCTCTGTATAAAACTACTAACCTTTTATAAGTCAAAGTTTTATAAACGTTTTCAATATATCGGGTTTTTCATGGACTGTTAGCAATGGTATTAAGTCATTGGCACCTCATGATTCAAACACAAAATTTACATGTACAGTTATTTTAATCCTGCAAAATCTCTTTTCCTCTTTTTTTTTGCACTACCTGACAAAAGGATTACAATGGAGTGCTGTTTACTTTGTATAGTGAAATTGAATAATGACTTGACTCAGATTTTGGTTAATTGCATACTTACAAGCCATGACATTTATCAGCAATGATAATGGGATGCCATTATCTGTTCCTCCACCATTGTTATACATTGTTGCACTATCGTGTAGTGAAGTTTATGGAATTGTGAACATCGGCAATCAGACTTATTATTATAGCCTAAGATGCATGATGTTAGGGAATTCATTTCGAGACGGAATGCATGTGCTTTTCAGTCCCTTAAACCTCAAAATGTCAAAGTTAGACTGTATATCATATTCCTTGCTCTACTGAGTGACACTATCATATTCCTGGCTCTACTGAGTGACACTATCGTATTCCTGGCTCTACTGAGTGACACTATCGTATTCCTGGCTCTACCTAGTGATGCTATCATAATCCTGGCTCTACTGAGTGACACTATCGTATTCCTGGCTCTACTGAGTGACACTATCGTATTCCTGGCTCTACTGAGTGACACTATCATATTCCTGGCTCTACTGAGTGACACTATCGTATTCCTGGCTCTACTGAGTGATGCTATCATAATCCTGGCTCTACTGAGTGACACTATCGTATTCCTGGCTCTACTGAGTGACACTATCATATTCCTGGCTCTACTGAGTGACACTATCGTATTCCTGGCTCTACTGAGTGACACTATCGTATTCCTGGCTCTACTGAGTGACACTATCATATTCCTGGCTCTACTGAATGACACTATCGTATTCCTGGCTCTACTGAGTGACACTATCGTATTCCTGGCTCTACTGAGTGACACTATCGTATTCCTGGCTCTACTGAGTGACATTTTCGTATTCCTGGCTCTACTGAATGACACTATCGTATTCCTGGCTCTACTGAGTGATTCTATCATATTCCTTGCTCTACTGAATGACATTTCCTTTCTCATCAACATGGTTAATACAATGTTATCAAATTGTTATAGATAGCTGGGCAGTGGTTTTTCTATTTTCCTTTAAAGCTGAAAAAGATTTCACCTCTATAAGTGTTACTTTCTGTGAAAATGAAAAAAATAAAATATCTTGAATCTAAATTTCCCTACCCCAGACATATGTTTTGTTATTCATGTTTGAATCATGGTGATCAGAGAGAAATGAGTGAAAAAAATTTAATAATTAAGAAAGTTGTGTAATGTTACCATGGCCATAATTTCACCATAATGGTATTTTGATCTGGTTCATTTCCCTGTGCATTGTCTTCCATAATATCATTTCAGAAAACTTGTACAGTAAACACTTTTTAGTTTATGGCTGTTTTAAACTTTTGACATATAATGTCATATTTGAATTTGAATTTATTTTTTCAAACAAAATATCTGCAACCTATAGACCATGTCTTAAGAGATTTAAAAGACTACAAACATATTGCTTACTGATTCGGAAATTTAGATGCCACAAAATCATGGAAGAATAAGGATAAAAAACAGAACAATCTCAAACAGGTCTTCTCACTTGTTGGTAAAAAGCCTTCATTAACCTATATGATAGTGAATCTCCAAACAGTTTTTAGAAGTCTAATGTTCAAAGTGATGTTCCACTCTCACTGGTCATGATTAATTTAATGATAGTAACTTTCTTACAATTTTAAATATCTGACTTTTAGACGCTGTATTATATTTATGTATATAAACCATTTGATTGTTATATCATACTTGAGTGGTAATAGTATCATTGATTGTCGAGCATCACTGAAATTAAGTTACAATCTATCATTACCATTGGGTAAAAGAAGGGAGTGTAAATGTATAAGCTAATTTTGATATTCACAGTATTGTCATAAATTAATATTATATTGATCAAACAAACTTGAATGTAAACAATACATGGTTTCAATACATTAGTTTTCCATCTTACTCACTTTAAATGTATGTTTTACAAATGAACATTGGAAGAGGGATCTTGATGACTATATCCTTATGATGTAATACTGGTTGTAAGTATAATGACTTTATACTATACTTTCTGTTTAAGACTCATGATTTTTTATTCGAAAAAATAGACGCCAATTTCGGGATTTTGTGATGAAGCTTAATTTGAGTTTCGATAATTTTTTTTGTTTTTTTTTTTAATATTAGGTCATATTTATGGTTTTCTGACAACCAAGACCAATGCACCTCGAGAACTGCTTTGTTGTACTTAAAAACTTTTTGATGTCTTTATGAAGAGTGTGAATACTATGTCTGTTTCAGCGGTGTTACCTTGTGATCTACCGACAACATGTTTAAATGGTGGTACCTGTCTGACTGGCAACGGTAACAGCTTTTCCTGTGTTTGTGATACTGGCTTCACTGGAGACAACTGTGAAAACGCGGGTACATATCTTATGTCTTCATTATAGATATCCATTGTCATGCTGCGTTTCTGCTTGATTTCTTCAATACAAACAAGATCTCACTGCTTAATTAACTCTACTTCTAGAATATTTATCTGAAAGAAATTAGAAATCCAGATTTACAATACTCTACCTATAGAATATTTGAAAAGAAATTAGAAATCCAGATTTACAATACTCTACCTATCTGAAAAGAAATTAGAAATCCCCAAAGTATTTCTGGACTTGCCCATGACCTGTATACCTGTTGTCAGCTTTACATATTTTAAATATTCATTTGTAATTGATATTTTCTTCTGTTACTGATTCAGGTACCACTCTGCCTCCTTCAACATTTGCACCCGGTTCAAGCTTTTCTTGCACTTTTGAAGCTGGTGTCCCATGCTTCCTACACCAGGAGTCCTTAGATGACTTTGATTGGACGTTTCCTGAGGTAGTTTGTCCAATATATAATCCCTTTTAAAACACTGAATATTGTAGTCTCTACTTTGATGAAATTTGAGAGAAACACCTGTGACGGCAGCAGCACTAATAGTTCATCTCATTGACGGTGAACACCTTTGTAGCATATGATAAGGGCTATTTCAGTCAAACATCTACTTGATCCTAGGACTTTAAAAAATGCTTGAATCTGTTGCTGTAAGTGGAATATTGATTGTGATATTTTCTGTTACCATGTCGATCCTCTAAGTTAACTGTCAAATTTTTTGACTAGGTATACAGTATTTCTATCAATGTGACCATTGTTTCCATTTTGCTCCATTTCGTTATCCATGTCAATCGCCTCCTGATAGGCTGGTCAAATGGCGCTGTGGTAACACTCGCCTTTTACCTAGCCGTCCGGGGTTTGATTCCGAGAACGAACATGAAAAGATAGGGGGTCATGTGTCCAGCCACATTGGTTTTCCTCAGGTACTTTGGTTTCCTCCCACAGCAAAACCTCTTGTGCACTTATATCAGGGCCAGAAAGAATGATTCATATGTTAACTTGTTTTGAGATTGATGTAAAATAATTTTTTATTTATTTACTTCCTGTTGTGCCACATGATTGAAGGAACGTTTTGATTGGCCAGGACAATGTCGATGACTGTTTCAAACAATTGTGCAGGTCTCCATTTTTGTTGAAATTTGTTCATATTGTGTTTATTCCAACTCCTTTAACCTAGAATTATTTTAGAATGGTGATCATATGCTCATTTTTATGCATATACTGGAGACTAGATCATGAAATTGTCATTTTACCACTTGAAGGTGTCTCGTGTAAAACCAAGCAGATCTTACTATCCCCCTAATTCTCCTTGTTTTCCATGGTCTAATTGTCCAGCTTATAAACGTTTTAATATTAACACAACTTTTTATTGATAATACCAAAGGCATGACTTGTTGCCATAAAGGATGTTTTGTATGGGTCAGATTGTTTTAATTGAAATTGTTCAGCCTTGTGCTGCATTGAATACTGCTGTTATTGCTGCCATTGTCAAATGGTTTTATGCAACCGAGTGTATACTACTTCCCATGTCTGTCCTGTCCCATTCTGTCATTTCACGTTGTGCCCCATCCTGTCCCGTCCCATTCTGTCATTTCACGTCGCACCCCATCCTGTCCTGTCCCGTCCCATTCTGTCATTTCACGTCGCGCCCCATCCTGTCCTGTCCCAATCCAATGTAAGCACTTAGTAACTTCATTCTTTGACAGATTTTAGTCAAACTTTATGCAAAGCTCAATTATGAGTATATTTTGTACATAGTTGTTTCAGGGGTCCAAGGTCAAGGTCACCCTTGCTATATATAGAAATCACCAACGGATGAAATATAAACATTTTACAGCTTAATTCTTTCATGGAGTTGGTCAAACTTTACGCAAAGATCCAAGCACGAGTCTACTTTGTTTCAGGAGTCTAGGGGTAAGGCCTTGGCAGAGGCAACATGTCTTGCAGACATTTTCCTGTTTATTTCTACTTTGACTCCAGCTTTGAGTCACTTTGACTCCAGCTTTGAGTCACATTTAGATAGTACTTTCAATCATTGTGTAACAAGTTCAGACCTGTACCATATTCAAGATGGTCTTGACTTAAATTTTTTATATCTCTCTACTTTTCTTGGTCAGAAAGACTGACAGAGAAAGCACTTTCCCTGATAAATAGTGAATGGTCCAAACTGAAATTTTGACAAAGTAAAGACATCACAGGGCATCATCTGGAATATCTATATTTGTCCTGAAGATCAGTTTTTTTTGGGGTTGGGCCTTTCACTTTGGAGTTATGTTTGGTCTCCAAACAGTGACATCTATATAACAATGAATGTAGCTTTAACATTAACACAGCACCTGTTCAATAAATGGGAATTTAGATAAGATAGGCTGAGATTTTGATTAGACATGTATTCATCTAGTCTTTCCATTGTTTACATGACAAAAGTTTGTTTTTCTTCATTTTATTTTGAATGCAATACAACAACCAGACATGACTTAATGCGGTTACATATCCAAGATGTTTCGTTTGCTATGTCTAAAATGACTAGTTAATTGGTACTTGTTACTAGGTTTTTTTATGGTGTGATATTTGGTGATAGGAAATGCATCGTTACATGAGGTATATTGTCTTGCAGCATTCCACATACTGATATAAAATTTTTAGCAACACCTCGGAATCAACCTGAACAATACATAAAATCAGAAATCCTGAAAACTTTTTGTCACATTTCAATATTTGTTCTAGGTTATGATTACAGCAATAAGACCAAAGCAGACTGATTTTTTTTTTGCATGATAATTAACATAGTGGGAATATCAGTCTGTCCAAATGATTCCCTGCAGTCTAGACATCAAAACTGAATGACGATTATAACATGTGGTGCTGTGTTTAGCCATCATGAATGTAACTACAGGTGTTAAAACGTTGTTTATGTTATGGACCTGTTATAATGGCAATATAAACAAAACTGAGTGTTTGTGGACCACTGTTTTGACTTGTACAACAAATTTCCTCACTTGTTTACTCGTATATACTACCTTAACCTGTACACATGAACCAGCAATTTCACCCTGCCTCTCAGATAATTTCATTAAAGCTCTAACTTGTACTCTTAAAAATTTTACAAGTAAATATGTGGATTAACTGTCCTAACTTCTCCATACCACACCTGACCAGTAAAACACAAACAAGATAAAGACATTCATATTGAAATAAATTCAGGAATCTCAATGCATAGCTCTGTTATTTATATAACAATTTTGAGACATATACACATACATGGAACTGAGTATATGCCATTGTGTGATGTGTAATACCATAAATACCCATCTCAAAGAAGGATTTCGTACCCAGAAACTGACAAATTGAAATCCTAATCTTTAACACCTGTATAATGTCATTCCATGTGTTATGTTAAAACGGAAATGGCTGTTATTACCATGCTCATGTATTCAGAGATGTGTGTACGTATTTAATTGTTGACGCCCGGTCATTTGATGTGGATTTCCCACTAATTTGTTAAAGTTTACACGTATAATGATGTATTTTTAGTGAAGTAGAATCTGTATTTAGTCAAGGGCATCGCAGAAAAACAGAATCATATGAGATATGTCTGCCTTCTGCACTTTTACATATCCGACACTCAGTTGAAGTAACACTTTGTCACAGGTACCATGTGACCAGTAACTGTATTAACTCTCTCGTGTGTGGTACTTTGGATTGCTTTAAATACAGGTATCGGGACATATCAGCGCCATCTGGGTGGTACTACAAGTTAGATTAAGATGTAACAGAATTTAGCAAAAACCAAAATTGCGGCCAAAATTCTTTCAGTGTTCAGGTTTGCCATCAATTGTTGTTCCTTGTTTTCGATTTTTCTTTATTGTACATGTATATGTTGTAAAGATTAAACACCCACTGCTTTGCTTCCTTGCAGCAAGCTGATGGCAAATTGGATATTTGGTATCTGTATATTTCAGAGTAGCCGAGTGGAGCAAGATACTTCATTACCATTGAAATTGTGTATGCTTTACACTTTTTCAATGTTTTGTAACGACTAACTCAATGTCTTATTTCTATAGTTGGGTTACTTGTCTTCCTCCAGCACTAGAGCTTACAACACCACCTAGGGAACATCTCTCATTTATTGTAAATAATTATTTCATTGTCCTTTGTAGTCCGGTAGTACGCCGTCCTCCAGCACCGGTCCTGACGTTGCCAGTGAGGGAACATTTTATGCATATATTGAGACCTCATCTCCAAGGACTGCAGGAGATACAGCAGTGCTTATGTCCGATATTCTACCCTGTACGTACCCTTTAATTCTGGTGACACCAATAAGGCAATTTTAGTTGAAACATACACTGCAGATGAAGTTAATTAGTCACATAATGTACAACAAGGACAAGGCGATGACTTTTATATCTATAAAATTTTGCTACAAATGAATACTGCAGTTACAAATTATACATATTTAAATCATCAGTAAATTTATAGACATTGATATTGTTTGTTAATTTCAGTAGAATCATTAATTGTGCTGACCAAAGAATACACTACTGAATGTTGTTGTTCAGACACTGATGGGCAGTCATGGATGATCGTTCCCCCATCGTATACGACCAATCTGTGATTATTTGAATAACCTGCCACAGTCGTAAGGAGTTTTATGTAGCAGAGTTTTGCCTGTGTATTCATCACAGTTCACCCCCTTATAATTGTGGTAATTTAGAACATTTTTGGTGATGACTAATTCTGAATTTTTTTTGAATTTGAAGTGGAGAATTTTTGCCTGACATTTGACTACCATATGTACGGATCTTCTATGGGAACCCTCGGTGTATTGGTAAATGATGTGGGTGCTAATGCAGGTGCTACAATGAGTCTTTTATGGGAAATGTCTGGTGACCAAGGCAATGCATGGCACAATGCAGCCATTGAGATCCCTCCAACTCCCTCCCTAAGGGTATGTATTCCAACTTCCAGAAAGTTTGTCCATTACTTTGACAAGGGAATAATGCAGTGATTATTTGTGATCCACTCAATGATATGTTCAACTTTCAAATAAATCTTTTTTACAGTTTTGAAATGAGAACAAATTGCCCATCCATCTTGTCACAAGTTCATTTGTCCGGAGATCTCCTTCTCCAATTTAGAAACTATCTTTTTTTCAAACTGAGCTTAATCACTATGACATGAACGTATTTTCCTGAATGACAATTTGATTTGACTGTACTTAGAAGAGTGTTTCATTGCTATGACAACCATGCTAAGGTTAATGGTGGCCTTGGATTTGTTGAAACAAGATTTTGCCTAATTTTGACGAATTTTTATGGTGTGGCATTAGGGGAAGCCAAACATTGTTGAAAGGTTTTATTGTCAAGACAACATAAAATGTAGAAATTTGTCCAACATTGATATTAATTTACAGGTTGGTAGACAATTTATAGCTTGACATCTTCTGTTGCAGGTCTTCTTTGAAGGCATTCGAGGCGGCGGATACAGGTCAGATGCAGCTATTGATAATGTTATAATGAGACCAGGATCTTGTGGTAAGCATAGAAAACTTTTTTTTAACAAAATTCTGCATAGATTAGATGAATATAACCTCTTTATTTAATGGTGAAAATGGTGTCCGGCAGATTTGAATATTCGAAAGTATTTACTGTTGTAAGATGACCTTATGGTAATGAGACTGTATTACCTGACAATAGGATTACGATAGCCCACTATCATTAGCTCTCTGTTGCGGGGTTAATTAATGAATGGACACATATTTGAAATGCACTTGGTTTTACTTACAAGCCATGATATTTAATCAAAGATAATGGGGTGTTGTGTGATGTTCACCGCTGCATTGTGGGGTGTTGTGTGATGTTCACCGCTGCATTGTGGGGTGTTGTGGGATGTTCACCGCTGCATTGTGGGGTGTTGTGTGATGTTCACCGCTGCATTGTGGGGTGTTGTGGGATGTTCACCGCTGCATTGTGGGGTGTTGTGTGATGTTCACCGCTGCATTGTGGGGTGTTGTGTGATGTTCACCGCTGCATTGTGGGGTGTTGTGTGATGTTCACCGCTGCATTGTGGGGTGTTGTGGGATGTTCACCGCTGCATTGTGGGGTGTTGTGTGATGTTCACCGCTGCATTGTGGTAGTGGCATTTAGTTAGGTGTAATTTACACAATTTTGAATTGATTTCTCTCAAGTGTCACTTTTTAGCTTTAAGTATAAAAACAAGAGAAAAAGTGATTTATCTGTCAGTCAGGTGTTCTCCGATAGATTTAGACAAGCCATCCTTAGAACAAAAGCAAACACTTTTGTAATTTTTTAGCCGAAAAAAGTGTGATGTTAGTACTGTCTGGACAGAATACATTATAATTTGCTTTCTTTTAAATTCATTTGTGTCTATAATGTTTATGTATCGGTCCTTCAATAATTACGATAACAGGCGAAGACCACTTTAATGCTGCACGTCATTTCCTTTGATATCGACCTGTAAAATGCATATACTGTGTGACATGAAGGATCAAATTCTCGTTGATTTCTTTTTAAAGTTGTTTTTTTCATGAATGAAAATGTTTAAAGATAAAAATGCATCTTTTCATTTAAACTTCTGTTTTGGTATTTGTTGTGTTTGTTTAGGTAGAAATATTGTCATCAACTTTATATAGCCATGAACATATAAAATATTGATCTAACCCACAACGCATGATTCAAAGACTCAAAGTATGCAAGTTTTTTTGGCAGTCCCTTCAACTTTAAAAAAAATTGAAGTTTGACTATATCATATACATTGGATATTAAAATTACATTAATAGCATTAAGTACAACCAGTACCTTAAAATTGTCTATACAGGCAGTGTCTGTACCAGTGTCTGTACCAGCCATCTGTACAGTGTCTATACATTGTCAAGCAGTATTGGTATAGTGTCTATACAGGCAGTGTCTGTACCAGCAGTCTGTACAATGTCTATACATTGTCAAGCAGTATTGGTATAGTGTCTATACAGGCAGTGTCTGTACCAGCAGTCTGTACAATGTCTATACATTGTCAAGCAGTATTGTTATATTGTCTATACAGGCAGTGTCTGTACCAGTAGTCTGTACAATGTCTATACATTGTAAAACAGTATTGTTATAGTGTCTATACAGGCAGTGTCTGTACCAGTGTCTGTACCAGCAGTCTGTACAATGTCTATAAATTGTCAAGCAGTATTGGTATAGTGTCTATACAGGCAGTGTCTGTACCAGCAGTCTGTACAATGTCTATACATTGTCGAGCAGTATTGGTATAGTGTCTATACAGGCAGTGTCTGTACCAGTGTCTGCACCAGCAGTCTGTACAATGTCTATACATTGTCAAGCAGTATTGTTATAGTGTCTATACAGGCAGTGTCTGTACCAGTATTTGTACCAGTGTCTGTACCAGCAGTCTGTACAGTGTCTATACATTTTCAAGCAGTATTGTTATAGTGTCTATACAGGCAGTGTCTGTACCAGCAGTCTGTACAGTGCATATACATTGTCAAGCAGTATTGTTATAGTGTCTATACAGGCAGTGTCTTTACAAGCAGTCTGTACCAGCAGTCTGTACAGTGTCTGTACCAGTGTCTGTACCAGTGTCTGTACCAGTGTCTGTACCAGTGTCTGTACCAGTGTCTGTACCAGTGTCTGTACCAGCAGTCTGTACAGTGCTTATTCATTGTCAAACAGTATTGGTATAGTGTCTATACAGGCAGTGTCTGTACCAGTGTCTGTACCAGCAATTTGTACAGTGTCTATACATTGTCAAGCAGTATTGGTATAGTGTCTATACAGGCAGTGTCTTTACTAGCAGTCTGTACCAGCAGTCTGTACCAGCAGTCTGTACAATGTCTATACATTGTCAAACAGTATTGTTATATTGTCTATACAGGCAGTGTCTGTACCAGCAGTTTGTACAGTGTCTATACATTGTCAAGCAGTATTGTTATAGTGTCTATACAGGCAGTGTCTGTACCAGTGTCTATACAGGCAGTGTCTGTACCAGCAGTCTGTACAATGTCTATACATTGTCAAGCAGTATTGTTATAGTGTCTATACAGGCAGTGTCTGTACCAGTAGTCTGTACAATGTCTATACATTGTCGAGCAGTATTGGTGTAGTGTCTATACAGGCAGTGTCTGTACCAGTGTCTGTACCAGCAGTCTGTACAATGTCTATACATTGTCAAACAGTATTGTTATAGTGTCTATAAAGGCAGTGTCTGTACCAGTGTCTGTACCAGCAGTCTGTACAATGTCTATAAATTGTCAAGCAGTATTGGTATAGTGTCTATACAGGCAGTGTCTGTACCAGTATTTGTACCAGTGTCTGTACCAGCAGTCTGTACAGTGCCTATACATTGTCAAGCAGTATTGGTATAGTGTCTATACAGGCAGTGTCTGTACCAGCAGTCTGTACAGTGCGTATACATTGTCAAACAGTATTGTTATAGTGTCTATACAGGCAGTGTCTGTACCAGCAGTCTGTACAATGTCTATACTTTGTCAAACAGTATTGTTATAGTGTCTATACAGGCAGTGTCAGTACCAGTGTCTGTACCAGCAGTCTGTACAATGTCTATACATTGTCAAACAGTATTGTTATATTGTCTATACAGGCAGTGTCTGTACCAGTGTCTGTACCAGCAGTCTGTACCAGCAGTCTGTACAGTGTCTATACATTGTCAAGCAGTATTGGTATAGTGGCTATACAGGCAGTGTCTGTACCAGTGTCTGTACCAGCAGTCTGTACAGTGTCTATACATTGTCAAACAGTATTGTTATAGTGTCTATACAGGCAGTGTCTGTACCATTGTCTGTACCATTGTCTGTACCATTGTCTGTACCAGCAGTCTGTACAGTGTCTATACATTGTCAAGCAGTATTGGTATAGTGTCTGTACCAGCAGTCTGTACAGTGCTTATACATTGTCAAACAGTATTGTTATATTGTCTATACAGGCAGTGTCTGTACCAGTGTCTGTACCAGCAGTCTGTACAGTGTCTATACATTGTCAAGCAGTATTGGTATAGTGTCTATACAGGCAGTGTCTGTACCATTGTCTGTACCAGCTGTCTGTACAGTGTCTATACATTGTCAAGCAGTATTGTTATAGTGTCTATACAGGCAGTGTCTGTACCAGCAGTCTGTACAGTGTCTATACATTGTCAAGCAGTATTGTTATAGTGTCTATACAGGCAGTGTCGGTACCAGCAGTCTGTACAGTGTCTATACATTGTCAAGCAGTATTGTTATAGTGTCTATACAGGCAGTGTCTGTACCAGCAGTCTGTACAGTGTCTATACATTGTCAAGCAGTATTGTTATAGTGTCTATACAGGCAGTGTCGGTACCAGCAGTCTGTACAGTGCTTATACATTGTCAAACAGTATTGTTATATTGTCTATACAGGCAGTGTCTGTACCAGTGTCTGTACCAGCAGTCTGTACAGTGTCTATACATTGTCAAGCAGTATTGTTATAGTGTCTATACAGGCAGTGTCTGTACCAGCAGTCTGTACAGTGTCTATACATTGTCAAGCAGTATTGTTATAGTGTCTATACAGGCAGTGTCGGTACCAGCAGTCTGTACAGTGCTTATACATTGTCAAACAGTATTGTTATATTGTCTATACAGGCAGTGTCTGTACCAGTGTCTGTACCAGCAGTCTGTACAGTGTCTATACATTGTCAAGCAGTATTGTTATAGTGTCTATACAGGCAGTGTCTGTACCAGCAGTGAATGATTTAAAGTTTGTAATTCACCTTTGTTTGATCTGAATGTATGCATTTTAATTGAAGGATGTGATTTACAACCTTGTCAAAATGGAGGTTCATGTTCTGAGGATTTGAATGGACAGATCACATGCGTCTGTGGCCCAGGATTTACCGGAGCATTTTGTGAATCCTTCGGTGAGTATGAATGGGCAGGTTTTAACCTATGGCCCTAAAAGTTGAAATCAATTATCCATTCCATGCTACCCTTTAGAATTAGTACTCTCATACATTAGTAGTTCTGTCCTTATACTCAGCTGTTCAGATTATCCAAATATTGATTTCCAACAATTTTTTTTGTGCAGAGGTGGCAGGAAAAACTTCTAGCTCATTCAAAAGCTTTGGGAAGAACAAGGTTAAAGAAATGGGATAAAACATTGTTACGTACCTGACAAGAATCAAAAGTTTTCGGTTGTTGCATAAGAGTTTGTGGTTTTAAATAAACCTAGATCGACTAGAAATTGGATAATATTGAACTTCAAAAAATCAACTGCCTCTCTATGGCCACCATGTTACTCCAACTTATTAACTGCCTCTCTATGGCCACCATGGAACTCCAACCCAATAACTGCCTCTCTATGGCCACCATGGAACTCCAACCCATTAACTGCCTCTCTATGGCCACCATGGAACTCCAACCCATTAACTGCCTCTCTATGGCCACCATGGAACTCCAACCCATTAACTGCCTCTCTATGGCTACCATGGAACTCCAACCCATTAACTGCCTCTCTATGTCCACTATGGAACTCTAACCCATTAACTGCCTCTCTTTGGTCACCATTGAACTTCAACCAATTAACTGCCTCTCTATGGCCACCATGGAACTCCAACCCATTAACTGCCTCTCTATGGCCACCATGGAACTCCAACCCAATAACTGCCTCTCTATGGCCACCATGGAACTCCAACCCATTAACTGCCTCTCTATGGCCACCATGGAACTCCAACCCATTAACTGCCTCTCTATGGCCACCATGGAACTCCAACCCATTAACTGCCTCTCTATGGCTACCATGGAACTCCAACCCATTAACTGCCTCTCTATGTCCACTATGGAACTCTAACCCATTAACTGCCTCTCTTTGGTCACCATTGAACTTCAACCAATTAACTGCCTCTCTATGGCCACCATGGAACTCCAACCCATTAACTGCCTCTCTATGGCCACCATGGAACTCCAACCCATTAACTGCCTCTCTATGGCTACCATGGAACTCCAACCCATTAACTGCCTCTCTATGTCCACTATGGAACTCCAACCCATTAACTGCCTCTTTGGTCACCATTGAACTTCAACCATTTAATTGCCACTCTATTGCCACCATTGAACTTCAATCCATTAACTGCAACTCTATGGCCACCATTGAATGTCAACCCACTAACTGCCTCTCTATTGCCACTATTGAACGTTAACCCATTAATTGATTCTCTATGGCCACTATTGAACGTCAACTCATTAACTGCCTCTCTATTGCCATCATTGAACTTCAGCCAATTAACTGCCTCTCTATTGCCACCATTGAACTTCAATCCATTAACTGCAACTCTATGGCCACCATTGAATGTCAACCCACTAACTGCCTCTCTATTGCCACTATTGAACGTTAACCCATTAATTGATTCTCTATGGCCACTATTGAACGTCAACTCATTAACTGCCTCTCTATTGCCACCATTGAACTTCAGTCCATTAACTGCCTCTCTATTGCCACCATTTCGTCAATTAAAATGACAAAGGTTTGTAGCATTGTGGTAGACTTCAATAAGAAATGACAAGTGTCTTAAATTGACAAATTTTAATGCATTGGTCACCTGGTCAAAATTAACTCAATCATGATTTTTAGAATGTTTTACTTAATCTCTACAAAACGTCATTGTCTCCATCAGATGGGAGCACCATTACCTGTTCATTTGAGGACAATGAAAACTGTTTCTTGATGCAGGATAATACGGATGACTTTGATTGGACCATTACTTCTGTAAGTTTAAATATGTGTTTTTATTTTCATAGAAACCTTTTAGAGACATCTATATACTGCTTTGTCTGGCCTTTTTGTCTCAGAAGCATAACTTTGACCACAACTGAGCAAGGATTGTGATCCTTGATTTGTATGTCATGTTTATTAACGTGATAATGCAGTGTACTAACTTCGAGACCAATAAGACTGACATTTCCTTATTTAGAGTTATTGCCCTTTGTCAAAGTCATGTGTTTTGAGCATAACTTAGATGCTCGCGTTTAAACTAGCATAAGGGAACTCGGTGTATAAATTCGTCATGCCAATATGTGTATACCAAAGTCGGGGCTTCTGTTTTACTACCAAATTTTTGCCCAATGTTGAAATTTCATGTCTGGAGCACAAATTTGTTTTCAATAGATGCCGCTGAAACTTGCAATTTATTATAGTAAATTTATTCTTTCAAAAACTGTTTAAAAGCCTCTTATCTACACAATTTAAAACACCAAAATATAAACGCAAAGTTGTTGCTTGTTGCTTGTATGTACATGAAGTATCGGCTTGACTGAGTAAAATGTGCTCTTATATAGCTCGGGCATAAGGATGTTATCATACACAGATACCTGTATGTAACCTGGTAAAACATTCTTTCCTCTTAACTCTCCATTTTAACATGTTTCTACAGATGTGTCTTTAATATGATGTTTGATTTCTTTTTCATTGATCAAAGAAAATTAAGTAAACAATTCTTTGTTTTTAACATCAAGCAATCCAACTTTTCATTATCAAAGAATCACTTTCCACACAATAAATGTGAATTTAGATATAAACCATTGTGAATGCACTGTAGCTAGACCACAAATACGACTTTTATTTGAATTTCATAGCTCTGAAGAGTATTGAATAGAAAGCAAGGTTTTGATTGGCTAATAGAAAGTGGATATCATTACTGAAGTGATTATCACTACAATTGTGATATACACTGTAGGTTTGGTGTTGATTTCTAACATTTCACCGCCTGAATTATGAGTAAAGCTAGTAAAGGTGATGATTCTCCAGATCTTAACAAGTCTCTTCCACTATACTCTCATTACCTCGGGAAATTAAGCACTTGAGTTATTCATTGATTTACATAACCTTTTTCCACTTCTGGTTTCTCCCAACAAAGCAGTGAGATTTTTTACCCGACAAATTGATTGATATTTGACCCAAGTTCATGGTTTAACATGTTGTTTCATTCTTATAATTAAATAAAAAAATAATAAAGCATAACACAAATTTATGATGTATCAAACAGGGAAGCACTCCTAGCAGCAACACAGGACCATCAGCGGCCTTCGAAGGAAACAAGTATGCCTATATTGAAGCGTCGAGTCCTAGAGTTGCATTGAATGTTGCAGAATTTTCTGCAGATTTAAATGCCAATGGTAAGTCAAGATATATAAAATATGCGAAATTGACAACGCCATATAATGTAAACGAGCAAAAATTTGTTACAGATATATGATACCTGACACAATTTTGTTTTTGGTATGTGATGTATGTGAAACCAAAATAATTGGTTCAAGGTTCAGGTCCAAAGAGTAGTTAATATGTGATTAATAAGTCATGTAGGAATACAAATTACAAAATTCAGATTCTAAAGAATAAATGGCAGGTAGATTGTTTAAACTTTGAAGTATTGGAGAGCAATGTACATACCAGCTTGACATGCTGTACATAAAATGGTCCATTGTTTCTGACTTCAGCTGGTGAATTCTGTCTAACCTTTGCCTATCATATGCATGGAGAAAGTACTGGAAGTCTGGAAATTTCTCAAACAAGTGGTCAACAACTAGTAACCTTATGGTCAAAATATGGAAATGTTGGCAATTTCTGGCAGTCCACTGGCGTCCAGATTCAATCTGTGGCCAATACAAAGGTAGGTATTGAAGGAGTTGCCTCCCTTTTTGACACAAAGTTTATTGAAATTTTTGATGTTTGTCTTTATATGTACAGTAAGTCAATTCTATAAAAAAAGTCATTGCATTGATATACATATATAGACTGTTGTATTCTCCTGTCACTTCCTACATCCTTACAACAGTTCATGGCACAAGTGGAAGTCATTTGTCTAGAGTGGGTTTCAGGATAAAGATTACTAATCAGAGTGATATACTATGAAGTCTGCAAAGGATCAACACCAAACTTCAAAGCCAGAACAACAAACTGTTATACAACCTGGTGATTTATTTGATGTATATCAAAGGATCAAACTAGTCTTTTTTTCTTCAAGTTGTCGGACATGGAAATGTTACAGGGGTGAAGAGAGTGATAGTGATAATAACCTAGAGTGTTGAGGATGGTTCCAGGGGTGAAGAGTGATAGTGATAATAACCTCTAGAGTGTTGAGGATGGTTCTGGGGGTGAAGAGTGATAGTGATAATAACCTCTAGAGTGTTGAGGATGGTTCTGGGGGTGAAGAGTGATAGTGATAATAACCTAGAGTGGTGAGGATGGTTCTGGGGGTGAAGAGTGATAGTGATAATAACCTCTAGAGTGGTGAGGATGGTTCTGGGGGTGAAGAGTGATAGTGATAATAACCTAGAGTGTTGAGGATGGTTCTGGGGGTGAAGAGTGATAGTGATAATAACCTAGAGTGTTGAGGATGGTTCCAGGGGTGAAGGGGTGATAAGAGAGTGATGAAGAGAGTGATAGTGATAATAACCTAGAGTGTTGAGGATGGTTCTGGGGGTGAAGAGTGATAGTGATAATAACCTAGAGTGTTGAGGATGGTTCCAGGGGTGAAGAGAGTGATAGTGATAATAACCACTAGAGTGTTGAGGATGGTTCCAGGGGTGAAGAGAGTGATAGTGATAATAACCTAGAGTGTTGAGGATGGTTCCAGGGGTGAAGAGAGTGATAGTGATAATAACCTCTAGAGTGTTGAGGATGGTTCTGGGGGTGAAGAGTGATAGTGATAATAACCTCTAGATTGTTGAGGATGGTTCCAGGGATGAAGAGAGCTATCATTTGCTGATTAATGTTATCAAACAGGATTAGATATGGTAGGTTTTCCAGATATTTACATATATAAATAAATGTACAGAATGCACGGAGAATTCATCATATTTTCTCTATAAATGTATATATATAGTTTACCATGTCATAAGTCAAACATCACTAGATCTTTAGATACTAAGGATCCCAGATGTGGAATCTTTTACCATGTCATATCAGAAACTGCTCATCACTTTTAGAATTTAAGAGGTCTGCAAAGCAGTTTTACTTAACTGATTTTATATCTTCACCTGTATGTCCTGTTTTTATACTTATGTTTCTTAACATTGTACATATTGTACATTTTAATACATCTTGACCATATGGAAGATGAACTCTATGCTCAATATGTAATCAAGAATAAATAAAGACGATTATTATTGCTAGTTATCTGTAAATAAGTGATGTGGTTCTTGTATGCATTATCTCTTCCGTTGTAGATCATAATTAGTGGAGTACGAGGAAGTGGCTTTAAGGGGGACATTGCTATCGATAATGTTGGCCTGAAGTCAGGACTATGTGGTAAGGGAAAACACGGACTTGAGATATGTAGACAGATAAAAAAATCAGACCAATACTGATTTTCCTTTTTATAGTTAGTAACTGGCCTGTTCACATAACCTTGTCATCGATCCATCTGTCCTTAAAGCTATTTAGCACTACTGAATGAATCCTATATTAAGTAGGTTCCTCTTGGTCTCTTGACATTTATTTTGGGATTGATTAGAAAATTAAAATGACCAACAGATAGCCTACTGTTAATAACCTATCATGTGCTTTCTTGTGTAAGAAGCAGGTGTTTTTAAAGAGAAAAAAAAACAGGTGCCATGTTGGATTTTGATAATGAAATTATGTTACTAAGTTTACTTGAGCACTGGATGGATCTTTTTCAAATTTCTTTGACTTGTTCCTCGTAGTTCTTACTTGTGGATTTTTAGGTCACCTGAGACAGTCTCATGGTGACCTATTGCAATCACCTTTGTCTGGCATCGTGCGTCTATGGCGTTCGTAAACAATTCAACATTTTTAAACATTTGTCTCAAAAACTTTTGATCCAACTTCAATGAAATTTTGCAAAAACCTTCCCTAGCCTAAGATGAAGTAATATAGTGAATTGTACTTCCCCAACCCCACTGGAGCCTGAGGGGCGGGGCCAAAACTGGTCAAATTGACTCGGATTTCAAAAATCTTCTCAACACCCAGGAAGAATCACGTGCTCTTCATGGATGGAAGCATTTTATGGTGCTTTATCAAAACTATGAATTTCATGGCCCCAGGGTCTCGCATTTGTCCTTTGGGAGCGGGTAAAGTGTACTAAAGTTTATATGGGAAAAATCGGTTTTAGAGTCTGATTTAATTTCAGTTGAAAATATTTCAAACATGGTTAGAATTATGAGCGAAGGATGATTGCTATATGGAATGCATATATTAAACCTGACTGACCTCCAGGGGCTGATGGGCAGGGCCAAAAGGGGTTAAATTAAGTCAGATTTCAAAAATCTTCTCATCACTCGGGTATTTTAGAATTAAATGCTCTTCATGGATGTAAAGGTCTTAGGTGTTTTGAGTACCAAAATGGGTCTCGTATTTCTTCCTGGGGAGGTGGTTAACTTTACCAAGATTTTTGAAGAAAAATTTAATTTTTTAGCATAACGTATATTTTCCACTGGAAAAAATTTCGGAAGAATTATTAATATAGAATGACTTTATGGATTGCGTTTATTGACACCAGCTTACCTACCATCAATGTCATAATTTTTTTTTAATGACACTAGAAATCTACTAGCCCTTTATATTCGCTATTTCTCATCTCAGATGACCATCAAGGCCAACAGGCCTCTGGTTTATTTTGTTATTGATCAGAAAAACAAAATGGCTGACCAAGCAACAGACCATATTACACCTGTCACCGAAGGAACCTTGTTTTTGACAATCTCTGATTGAAAGTGTTTTCAGAATTCTTAAAGAGGGTAGTGCATTGATTCTATGTCTGAACCCACAAAATCATTTAAATGTTTTGTGACCTTTTGAACTGGAATTTGTAAAATGCTCTGGACAGCGAACCATTAATACTAACCTGTAATTCACTAGAATTTCCTGTTACCTAAATATTTGGTACCATCATCAGATATTCAAGTAATATTTCATTTGAAGCCATCACACTTTTGTCACACTCCATTCATTTGTTTGTGAAACTTAAGAATGAAAATTTTTAACCAGGGAGAGACACAATTGGGAGATATTTAAATGATGTAAAATGAGGCATTATCAGAAAAAAGGTACATTGAGGATATAAATAAACACTGTAAAACTATTATCTTAATCCATGTTGACTGCTTGTATTACTTATTGCCTTTTCATTTTGTTCTAATTAAATGGTGGTTCAAATATTCAATATTACAGGATATGGCCAGAACAGCTAGTCTTGTTTCCATATTGGTTGACACTGAATGCAGTTTACCATCAACACAACGTAGTAGTTAATATCTAATACTGGAGAGAAAAAATGTACATATCCAACAGAAATGTATCTAAATGGCATTAAAAAACACCATAAATTGTTTTTGGTAGGATGCCTTTCGATGCCCTGTCTGAATGGTGGAACTTGTACAGATGCTGGCAATAATTTAGGATTTACCTGTAGCTGTGATGCAGGATTCAGTGGCACTGTGTGTGAAAGCCCCGATGGTAAGAATTCCATTGGTAAAATCTATTCTAACAACTTAGGAGTAAGAGAGATTTTAATAATTCCTCACTGTGATATGCCCATCACAGGTAGACACCTCTTTTTATAAGCCTATCGATGTTAAGGACATCTCTGCTTAAGAAGACCACTCTTGTTAAAAGTCTGTCCTTGTTTAGACATCCCCTGTAAGTAGACCTGTCCTTGTTTAGACCACCCCTGTAAATAACCCTGTCCTTGTTTAGACCACCCCTGTAAATAGACCTGTCCTTGTTTAGACCACTCCATTTAATAACCCTGTCCTTATTTAGACAACCCCTGTAAATAGATCTGTCCTTGTTTAGACCACCCCTGTAAATAGACCTGTCCTTGTTTAGACCATCCCTGTAAATAGACCTGTCCTTGTTTAGACCACTCCATTTAATAACCCTGTCCTTGTTTAGACAACCCCTGTAAATAAATCTGTCCTTGTTTAGACCACCCCTGTAAATAGACCTGTCCTTGTTTAGACCACTCCATTTAATAACCCTGTCCTTGTTTAGACAACCCCTGTAAATAAATCTGTCCTTGTTTAGACCATCCCTGTAAATAGACCTGTCCTTGTTTAGACCACTCCTGTAAATATATCTGTCCTTGTTTAGACCACTCCTGTAAATAGATCTGTCCTTGTTTAGACAACCCCTGTAAATAAATCTGTCCTTGTTTAGACCATCCCTTTAAATAGACCTGTCCTTGTTTAGACCACTCCATTTAATAACCCTGTCCTTATTTAGACAACCCCTGTAAATAGATCTGTCCTTGTTTAGACAACCCCTGTAAATAGACCTGTCCTTGTTTAGACCACCCCTGTAAATAGACCTGTCCTTGTTTAGACCACTCCATTTAATAACCCTGTCCTTATTTAGACAACCCCTGTAAATAGATCTGTCCTTGTTTAGACAACCCCTGTAAATAGACCTGTCCTTGTTTAGACCACCCCTGTAAAAAGACCTGTCCTTGTTTAGACCACCCGTGTAAATAGACCTGTCCTTGTTTAGACCACTCCATTTAATAACCCTGCCCTTGTTTAGACCACTCCAGGTAATAACCCTGCCCTTGTTTAGACCACCCCTGTAAATAGAACTGTCCCTGTCATTAGTCCTACCTGTTTTGGATGATACTTGGCACTTTCAGTAAGCCTGTCAGGAAGTCTATCCCTGGTAAGATGTCCCTGTCATTAGTCCTACCTGTTTTGGATGATACTTGGCACTTTCAGTAAGCCTGTCAGGAAGTCTATCCGTGGTAAGATGTCCCCGTCATTAGTCCTACCTGTTTTGGATGATACTTGGCACTTTCAGTAAGCCTGTCAGGAAGTCTATCACTGGTAAGATGTCCCTGTCATTAGTCCTACCTGTTTTGGATGATACCTGGCACTTTCAGTAAGCCTTTCCTTGTCAGGAAGTCTATCCCTGATAAGATGTCCCTGTTAAGGAACACACAATTTACTTTTGCCTTTAACTTATAATGTTCTAATTATTTTTCTAACATTTAGATGTTATTTACTCAAATGAGAACATCAATTGATTAATGAATGTATTTTGTTATTAAAATCTGTTGTCTATAGCTGTTCGGATGTTGGATCAAATTCATTGGTCAGATGGATAGTATTGAATCTGTTAACTCAAGAATTTTATGATTCATAGGGGCTCATTTAACCCATCAGCTGTGATATCCTTGCTCACCGAGACATGCTGGCACAATAAAGCATTTTGTTCTGATATCCTTGTCTGCGTACAGATATTAACTTGCTATGATTTGGTGTTTTGCCAGGGTCCGTCCCCATTACTTGCACCTTTGAAGATGGAGATGCCTGTTTCTTGCAACAAGTCAATGCATTGGATGATTTTAATTGGTCTTTTATACAGGTAAATTTTCCAACAAATGACGGTCAAGTTGTTGAGTTTGACATAATGGTCACACATGTAAAGCTCTAATTTGATATAGTAAATCAGCTTATTGATCTTGTTTTAATGTTGAATGCAGTTATTTCTTAATCACTTTCATTCTCATTATCCTTTTAACAGGAACCTGACCAGGCCCCACTTGTATAAAACATCTCAACTTGAATTTCCTCAAGTCGAGATTTTCCTCGGCTGATATCTCCTCAAAAACGGCTTGTATAAAATTTTCTCAAGGAACAGGAGGAAGGCATTGGCTAGGATGTCCTGAAATTCCTTGAGGAATTTTCATACAAGATATTTTCAAGGAGATATTAGCTGAGGAAAATCTGGGCTTGAGGAAATCTGAAATTGAGATATTTTATACAAGTGGGACCAGTTATTGTAGTGGTCATTTTCAAGTGTTTCTGTTTACAGAAAAGAGTGGTTTAACCCGTCATACTTTTGAACCAAGAGGAAATAAATGAGATGGTCTCGTCACTTCCAAGTTTAATGAAGGAAAATAAAACCATGCAAATTGAACTATAATAATGATGAATATTCTCCCTGAATCGCGTCACACATGAAAGCAATTTGCTTGATTCAGGTGGTCGTTAAGTCGGTTTCCACTGTACCTTGAAATGAAATGAGGAAACTATGGTCAGTTTTATGATTTCTCTGAAAATACCACCAGTATTGATCGAATAAACATTTATATTGATAATTTGAAATTAGAAATATTTCCATGTTTGTAAATGATTGGGTGAATGTTTTTCAGGGAAGCACCCCGAGTAGTAACACTGGACCAGATGGTGCTCACACGGGATCAAAGTATGCGTATATTGAGGCATCATCTCGACAAGATGGAGACTTTGCAGTTCTCAGCACGGAACAGCTAACTTTTCAACGTAAGAGATGTCACTGAAGATTCTTCAAAAACAGTTATATCATAAAAAGTATCAAATTTGTTATGAAGATTGTCTTGGGAAGTAAGTTTTTTCACGCTAAAGCTCACAAAAATAAAACTAAAACTTGTTTCATAAATTTCTTATGAAGCGAGATTGATTTCTTCCTGTAATGGCACTTTGAAGAGTGAAATCTCAAAGGAGATACCAAAACTTTGTAAACCACATTTGTTTGGGGAAACGTGTAACAATGTTAAATTTGAAATATATTGTAGCCATGGAACGATGTCTGCGCTTTTACTATCATATGAACGGAGACCAAATGGGAAGCCTGCATGTATATGCTGGTGAGCGTGGACAAGAAACCATGCTTTGGAGTGAGAAGGGTGACCTAGGTGACCAGTGGCTATCTGCCAATGTGGACATACCAAGTGCCACCGACCTTGTGGTAAGTTGATCTCATTTCTAGGCTTGGTATTTGATATTTGTTAAATTCTTCTCTTGAATTGATAAACCATTTCCACTTCTCTCACTTTTGTCTTAAAACATGTAAAAACAGAGAGCTTTATACAACTTTGGTGACTGATAAGTCCTTAACAAAATTAGATGTCACATGTTGCCCATCAGAATGTTGAAGATGTTTAGTAAATCAGTGACAAAATTAGGAAAGATGTGGCATTCATGATGACGTTTTAGGTCATCTGAACTGAGGGGTCAAGATGACCTGTAGTCTTCGTGGTTCATGTGTAAACCTTTTCTTTAAAACCCTACTCTTTCATACCTGGATGGATTTCAACCAGATTAGGTTTGTTACATCATTGGGTGAGGGTGTTCATTTCTTAAATTCAAAATGTTGATTCAATCCTGATGGGGCCCGCAGGACAGGGCCCCAAATGGGGAGGTGCTGAAATTAGATTTAAAACCTCCCTTCTGGCTGGGTGGATTTCAATGAGCTGTGGACTGATTCATTAAATAGGGGAGACGGTTATCATATCAAAGTTGATTCGACCCCTATGGACTTGGGGCCCCAAAAAGTTAGACAATATTTTTCTTCAAAATTCTACTCTTTCTTAATGCTTGAATGGATTTCAACCAAATTTGGTTTGAAACAACATGGAGAATGGGGAACCATTTCTTAAATTCAGAAAGTTGATCATCTCTAATAGGAATGACCTTGATCCCTGGTCACAGGAGTCTTATGTACTGAACCCCACACAAAGGCAAGTACACAAGTATACTATTGTTAATAACAATAATATAAAGCTGCGAGTGTAAATGATGAAATGGCGTGCATTTTTTTCACTTCTGACACTGTTCATGCTGACATAAAGTCATGAATTCTACACAAACAATCATGAGTGTTGCCATTACAGGTAAGTTTTCACAGAGACGTGTCGTTTATCGAGTGGTCTGGCCCAAAAGCATTCGTTCAGTGAAGGTAGCAAGAATAATGCTCATGAAACATGATACCATGATTAACATGATTGCAGAGAGGAATGGCTCTTGGAAGTTTGCAGGCGGGTACCTATGCCACTATTGTAGCCAGGCACTTGGGATATCATATTAGCACTATCACTAGGCTTGCTGATCATCCCTGGGCAGGGAGACTAAGGGTGACAACTCAGGACCAAGATTAAGTTGTTCCCTTGTTTGCTGCACAGCCGCAACTAGTTTTACCAGCAGGACAACACCAGTCCCAACACGGCCCGAGTACCTATGGGTTTCCTTGCACAGAATAATGTGAATGTCCTCTCTTGGCCGTCTCAATCACCGGGCATGGCACCGATAGAACATGTGTGGGAGGAAATTGGGAGAAGAATCGCTGCTGTTGGAGCTCTGTTGACATTGGCACAGCTGGATGAGACTCCCCCCAGGAATGGAACAGTTTGCCCCAGGTTTCCAGACTCTCAGCAATTCCAGGAGATGACGCTGCACAGCCTGTATTAATGCCTAAGGCGGACACACACATTATTGACTGATTTGTGATTTTACTGTGGGTACCATCTTTGAATAGACAATAGAAATTGTTTCTGTTATCTGAGGATTAATATTGCTTAGTAGTATAGCATATGGATAAGTTGCTGCTGTTGGAGAATTTGATAAGGATGGGTTAGTGTGATGCTCATTCACTTGGTATCTTTAATTTTTTTTAAATGTGGCCTTTATTTTTGGCAGGTTGCAATGGAAGGTGTTTGTGGTACCAGCTTCAAAAGCGACATTGCTGTTGATGATATAGAATTGAGTGCTGGTCTTTGTAAGTATATACCTGGTCTTAAACAAAGTGCAGGACTTTCAGATATATATTGGTTGATCAGCATGTTCTGTCACATTGAAATTTTCCTGGAATAATCCATGTTGGGCATGCCCACATACTATTTGTAGAGTATTTGCAATACATGTCATTATTATGCTCCCCGAAGGGAGAACATTATAGTCGCCGTTTTGTCTGTCTGTACGTCATAATTTTGTCTGAAGCATAACACAAAGCTATCAACGTAAAACTTCATAAGTAGATCTACAATTCTTTTATTAATCTTTCTATGTTTCTGAGATTAATCTTTCTATATTTCTGAGCTATATTTCTGAGATTAATCTTTCTATATTTCTGAGATTAATCTTTCTATATTTCTGAGATTAATCTTTCTGTATTTCTGAGCTATATTTCTGAGATTAATCTTTCTATATTTCTGAGATTAATCTTTCTATATTTCTGAGATTAATCTTTCTATATTTCTGAGCTATATTTCTAAGATTAATCTTTCTATATTTCTAAGATTAATCTTTCTATATTTCTAAGATTAATCTTTCTATATTTCTGAGCTATATTTCTGAGATTAATCTTTCTATATTTCTGAGATTAATCTTTCTATATTTCTGAGATTAATCTTTCTATATTTCTGAGCTATATTTCTAAGATTAATCTTTCTATATTTCTGCGATTAATCTTTCTATATTTCTAAGATTAATCTTTCTATATTTCTGAGCTATATTTCTGAGATTAATCTTTCTATATTTCTGAGATTAATCTTTCTATATTTCTGAGATTAATCTTTCTATATTTCTGAGATTAATCTTTCTATATTTCTGAGCTATATTTCTAAGATTAATCTTTCTATATTTCTAAGATTAATCTTTCTATATTTCTAAGATTAATCTTTCTATATTTCTGAGCTATATTTCTGAGATTAATCTTTCTATATTTCTGAGATTAATCTTTCTATATTTCTGAGATTAATCTTTCTATATTTCTGAGATTAATCTTTCTATATTTCTGAGCTATATTTCTAAGATTAATCTTTCTATATTTCTAAGATTAATCTTTCTATATTTCTAAGATTAATCTTTCTATATTTCTGAGCTATATTTCTGAGATTAATCTTTCTATATTTCTGAGATTAATCTTTCTATATTTCTGAGCTATATTTCTAAGATTAATCTTTCTATATTTCTGAGATTAATCTTTCTATATTTCTGAGATTAATCTTTCTATATTTCTGAGCTATATTTCTGAGATTAATCTTTCTATATTTCTGAGATTAATCTTTCTATATTTCTGAGATTAATCTTTCTATATTTCTGAGATTAATCTTTCTATATTTCTGAGCTATATTTCTGAGATTATTTCTTTCTATTTCTGAGATTAATCTTTCTATATTTCTGAGATTAATCTTTCTATATTTCTGAGCTATATTTCTAAGATTAATCTTTCTATATTTCTAAGATTAATCTTTCTATATTTCTGAGCTATATTTCTGAGATTAATCTTTCTATATTTCTGAGATTAATCTTTCTATATTTCTGAGATTAATCTTTCTATATTTCTGAGATTAATCTTTCTATATTTCTGAGCTATATTTCTGAGATTAATCTTTCTATATTTCTGAGATTAATCTTTCTATATTTCTGAGCTATATTTCTGAGATTATTTCTTTCTATATTTCTGAGATTAATCTTTCTATATTTCTGAGATTAATCTTTCTATATTTCTGAGCTATATTTCTAAGATTAATATTTCTATATTTCTAAGATTAATCTTTCTATATTTCTAAGATTAATCTTTCTATATTTCTGAGCTATATTTCTGAGATTAATCTTTCTATATTTCTGAGATTAATCTTTCTATATTTCTGAGATTAATCTTTCTATATTTCTGCGATTAATCTTTCTATATTTCTAAGATTAATCTTTCTATATTTCTGAGCTATATTTCTGAGATTAATCTTTCTATATTTCTGAGATTAATCTTTGTATATTTCTGAGCTATATTTCTGAGATTAATCTTTCTATATTTCTGAGATTAATCTTTCTATATTTCTGAGATTAATCTTTCTATATTTCTGAGCTATATTTCTGAGATTAATCTTTCTATATTTCTGAGATTAATCTTTCTATATTTCTGAGATTAATCTTTCTATATTTCTGAGCTATATTTCTAAGATTAATCTTTCTATATTTCTGAGCTATATTTCTGAGATTAATCTTTCTATATTTCTGAGATTAATCTTTCTAAATTTCTGAGCTATATTTCTGAGATTAATCTTTCTATATTTCTGAGATTAATCTTTCTATATTTCTGAGATTAATCTTTCTATATTTCCGAGATTAATCTTTCTATATTTCTGAGCTATATTTCTAAGATTAATCTTTCTATATTTCTAAGATTAATCTTTCTATATTTCTAAGATTAATCTTTCTATATTTCTGAGCTATATTTCTGAGATTAATCTTTCTATATTTCTGAGATTAATCTTTCTATATTTCTGAGATTAATCTTTCTATATTTCTGAGCTATATTTCTGAGATTAATCTTTCTATATTTCTGAGATTAATCTTTCTATATTTCTGGGATTAATCTTTCTATATTTCTAAGATTAATCTTTCTATATTTCTGAGCTATATTTCTGAGATTATTTCTTTCTATATTTCTGAGATTAATCTTTCTATATTTCTGAGATTAATCTTTCTATATTTCTGAGCTATATTTCTGAGATTATTTCTTTCTATATTTCTGAGATTAATCTTTCTATATTTCTGAGATTAATCTTTCTATATTTCTGAGCTATATTTCTAAGATTAATCTTTCTATATTTCTAAGATTAATCTTTCTATATTTCTAAGATTAATCTTTCTATATTTCTGAGCTATATTTCTGAGATTAATCTTTCTATATTTCTGAGATTAATCTTTCTATATTTCTGAGATTAATCTTTCTATATTTCTAAGATTAATCTTTCTATATTTCTAAGATTAATCTTTCTATATTTCTGAGCTATATTTCTGAGATTAATCTTTCTATATTTCTGAGATTAATCTTTCTATATTTCTGAGCTATATTTCTGAGATTATTTCTTTCTATATTTCTGAGATTAATCTTTCTATATTTCTGAGATTAATCTTTCTATATTTCTGAGATTAATCTTTCTATATTTCTGAGCTATATTTCTGAGATTATTTCTTTCTATATTTCTGAGATTAATCTTTCTATATTTCTGAGATTAATCTTTCTATATTTCTGAGCTATATTTCTAAGATTAATCTTTCTATATTTCTAAGATTAATCTTTCTATATTTCTAAGATTAATCTTTCTATATTTCTGAGCTATATTTCTGAGATTAATCTTTCTATATTTCTGAGATTAATCTTTCTATATTTCTGAGATTAATCTTTCTATATTTCTGCGATTAATCTTTCTATATTTCTAAGATTAATCTTTCTATATTTCTGAGCTATATTTCTGAGATTAATCTTTCTATATTTCTGAGATTAATCTTTGTATATTTCTGAGCTATATTTCTGAGATTAATCTTTCTATATTTCTGAGATTAATCTTTCTATATTTCTGAGATTAATCTTTCTATATTTCTGAGCTATATTTCTGAGATTAATCTTTCTATATTTCTGAGATTAATCTTTCTATATTTCTGAGATTAATCTTTCTATATTTCTGAGCTGTATTTCTGAGATTAATCTTTCTATATTTCTGAGATTAATCTTTCTATATTTCTGAGATTAATCTTTCTATATTTCTGAGATTAATCTTTCTATATTTCTGAGATTATCAACTGGTCTATAATCAACATTACCATAGGAGGTCAAAGGCAGGTTTTTTCTGGTCAGACTGTACTAATCACGCTAATATATATTATCTTTTTCTAAACCAGAACTGATCAGTTATTAAGGTCAAAAGTTGTTCAGTAAAAGTTCGTGAAAGCTGTGTGTAATAGCCAAGGTAAATATTCAAAACTTAAATGCCAAGCAATCATAGAATCATTTAACAATTGAGTCATTTCATGACTTATTCACAGAATAACTGGAAAAGAGACTGGTGGAAGGGCTAAGTGAGCTATTGGCATAATGTGGTGTCTGTCAACTTTTTCTACAAATCACTACTAGTCATGAACGATTGAGAGGATTTTGACCAAGTTTTGTCAGAAGCATCCTTTTGGAAAGAAAAACAAATTTATTTGTAAATTGTGGGTCTTGGCCCCCTTTGGCGGGAGGGGTGGAGCCCAACAAGGGAAGTAAAGCAAAGACTTTAAAATCTACACCTGTAGGAATGATTGGATTTTGTAGAAATTTGGTCCGAGGCATTCTGGGTGAAGGGGAATCAGTTTTGTAGAAATTATTGGTCTCAACCCTACAGGGCAGGAGGGGCAGGGTCTGAAGTTAGAAAAAGGGCAAATTTGTTAAAATCTTCTCTTTTAGAAATAATTTGGTCTGAAGTGTAGATGGAAAACCCTGTAAGGACAGAGGGTATGTGTCAAGTAGGAAAACAGATGTTTTATTTTATTTTTCTTCTAAAGAAATGTAAAGTTTTGCATTGTTGACTTAAATATCCAGGTAAGCAATACGGGCCCTGTATGCCTCTTGTTTAGTGTTAATAGTTTAAACCACTTGGCTGCTATGGTGAAGATCAGATATTTACATAATTCCTTCAAAAAGAATTTAGGTTGACCTTCAAACTAAAATAGATAGTGCACTATCAAATGTTTAGCATCACTATTTGTAAATTCATAACTATCACAGAAAAGTTCAAAGGTTGAAGTCTGGAGTATATTAAATAGGATTCTTTCTTTATAGATGATGAGGATGGGGGTGGGGCTGGGGTGGGGGGCTAATTATTTCATTCAATGATACTTTGGTACATGCATGACCACAATGAAAGGCAATTTTCATTTTGCACCAAATTAATGAAAATCCTACCTAATCTTTAATTTGTCTGTTTCAGGTTGATGGTTTTGTTGGTAAGTGGATGGAGTCGGAAATGGATACTGAATTGAAATAGACATTATGTTAAACTATATTCTCAGTGCTGTTTTGGAAGTTGTTAATAAACCAAAATGATGTTATTCAAACAAATTTGTTATTCACTGTTTTATTACTGTTCTCCAATTTTAAGAGTAAAGATAAGCCAATTTTATTCAGTTTACATGTGGTTTTTGTTTTTTGTTTCATCTACGACCTGGTTTTACCTGTTGATGGAGCAGAAATATATAAACTTACATACACTGGTGGAGAGAAAACAATGAACAAATCTTCCTGTGGGAACTTGTTGTATTAAGCTTCACAAACGTGGGACAAGCTAGTAAGTTTTTATAATGAGTATAGACCCTGCACTAAATATCAAAATTGGTTGTACTTAGCTTTTATTATAACATAAAACCTCTCGCGTGATGATCAACTGTTAACAATAAACAATAATTCAGATAGACCTAAATGGTGAGCTTTTAATGCCACATCTCTAATAAGAATTTTACACACAAGATGATCCAGACCACATGCCGAGACCTTAAAACTAATCAAAAAGAATTCAGACATAAGTTACAAGGCCTCATGGTGAGATCTGAATGTCTCCAGTAAGATTAGAATTCACATACAAGACAAATTACAGGCCTCACGGTGAGATCATGATGCCACAAGGAAGAGAAGAGAATTTAGACAATAAGATAAATTTCAGACCTAATAGGCATGTGTTTATGCCTCAAGTCAACAGGCGAGAATTTTAGACACCCGAAGACAAGTTGTATGAGGTTACATTGTGAGTTCTTGATGCCACAGGTAAGAGACAAGTATTTGAACATTGGCGGTTTTTAAGCAATTGCTAAAGACCTTCCTAACATTTTTAATTTGGTCACGTGACAGTCTTAATTAGTCACATGACAGTCTTAATTTACCGTAAAATCCAGTCGCATGTATGGATCATTCCACGAACACCAACTCTGCCAACTTGAAAGGAGGGTGTTTATAAAGGGAATCCTTTGATGTTAAAGTTATAGTCTGTTTCAGCTAAGAATGTCAACTTGTCCTTGTAAATAGGATACTTACATATCGATAAGGAAATAGGTAAAGTTTTTTTTGTTTTACATATATAAATGTAACACATTTTTGTAGTATATGAAGTATTACAAAATAGTTATTAATTATTAGTATTTAAAATTGTTATTTATAATTTTAATGATTATCATATAAGATTATATTTAATTCATAAATAAAATTTAGTAAGTCACAATGATACACTGATGTATGACAATATGTCTCGGAGTTGATTGAGCTCTTCCTCAAAGATGGACGGAATAGGCTGGACCAATTGTACGCATTTGTTGGTGATCTGGTTCATGATCTGTTTGGCTACAACACTGGCTTGGTCTGAGGCGTGGATGTGTGGATTTCTTCCGAAGTTAGCTGGTATGTTGTCGATTGTCGAGAGTGACGCTGAGCAGCCTGAGGTCGAACATCTCCAGAATGTCCTGCTGCCGTTCTTTCGAATCTGTCTGAAGATGAATCCATTATGTGAAGGGTTCTGTCCGCCTCTTCTGTTGGTAATGAACTTAACGTTGATCTGAGCATTAGCCATACTGTCCTTGTATCAAACAACACAGATAATATCACTCAAATTAAACACAATTTACACAAAAACTGAGAGAAAATACAATATTAACTAATATTTGACAAAAGTTACAATTTACACAAAAACTGAGAGAAAATACAATATTAACTAATATTTGACAAAAGTTACAATTTACACAAAAACTGAGAGAAAATACAAGATTAACTAATATATATATGACAAAACAGATTTAACAAAGATATTTGATTCCTTTTCTCATTTATTGCCTCCTGCGGTTATCCATAATAGGAGTAGACGTTTAACGCCGCCCAGGAGCCCATATAAGCCCAGATTATACATAACAGCATTCGGCCATAGTGTCATCAACTCTTAGGCAAGGATTTCAAAATTTCCCCTGATCTAAAAGTTTGTACACATAGGACAGTCTGGAGATAGGGCAGGATGCAGAAGACAGGACCCCCTTCCACCACCAGAAGTTCAGAAACAGCTCATCAGGAACAGTCATTAGGCCAGCTAGTCGTCTCCAAATTACAGATTATTCCATCCAGACAACTCCACCCCATGAGGGGAGCACACACGCCTTTGATGTTTTTGGATGTAGTGTTCATTCACAAGAGTTTGGGTGCGTGCACAAAGGTGTTGTTCAACCCAGACATACATGTAACAACAGAATTTCTTTCATTTTTCATAATTAATAAATAAGTATAATTGCTTACTGATCCAACTTTGATGTGCAAAGTTGCGTGGTACAAACGAACACGAAAATCTTTTATCAAAACTGAAAATACAAGTTATAAAAAAATTCCATTCCTTCTAACAATTACTTAGCATCAGTGCCATCTGCATCAGTGTAAACACGAATTTTAATTGCATTAATCATAGAAATCCAAGAAGAGAGCACTACTTTGAGGAAAGAGGGAAGAAGTTGGAGAGATACATCTGTAATTTGAGAATCATATTTACTCAATCTAGGAACTGCTGTGCAGCGTCGATTATTTTTTGTTGCCATTAAACGAGATATTAAGCATCCCCTTTACAAAGAAGATTGATATCAATATTTCCAGATTTTCGTGCTAACTCTGTGTTTAGTATGAGAATGTAATGAACACTTGATATGAATCGTAAAAATACGAATTAGACTAATAACAATGGGGTTTAACCCTCAATACTTCGGCATATTTGAGGTAGAAAAACACAAGACGGAAGACAAGAATGCGAACAAAAATGAATATAGGTGTGGCAAATGTTATTTGATAACTAAGTCAATTCAGAACTACGAATTAAGTGACATTAATCGTCAGTTGGTGCAACTGATCCAGGGGTGTCCATTTCTGTTACAGTCGACGGTGTTTGTGCGCATGCGTTATCATGTATGGCGGAAAAGAAATTATCTACCCTGACTGTCGATCAACAGATAAGAATTTCCTTTTTATAATGATTATTTAACCCTTTCATGTTCACATTTCAGCGAAAACCAATCGTCATTGTCAAAAAGTATGTATAAATGATTTATAGATTCAATGTGTGTGGAATGTGTCGACACGATGATGTATTTTACAATGAAATGCATCTTAAAGACATTTCCAATAAGCAATGGGTATGGCGCTCTACCTTGAGAGAACACTTCTTTTAATTCTTTGCTTTGGTTTATCATACATGCGGGCCTGATAAGGAACGGTAAACGTGCTTTAAGAGTAACCGTTTTTCTAAATGTGTTCACCGCAAATGTCGGTGGCAAAATTTGGAGTAAATCTGGGCAGTGTACAACAAAATAAAAAACAAAATATTAATTCATAATAAGGCATCAATATGGAAATGATCACTTATCAGGAGAAATTGTAACATTAATTCGGTGTAAAATGCTTTTATTTTCTGGGGGAAAATGTAGTCATATCTAGAGTTGAACAAAGTTATGTATACATCATAACAACAAATCACAGATTTAATATACATTTTATGTAAAATTGGGGGGAAATGTAGTCATATCTAGAGTTGAACAAAGTTATGTATATATCATAACAACAAATCACAGATTTAATATACATTTTATGTAAAATTGGGGGAAAATGTAGTCATATCTAGAGTTGAACAAAGTTATGTATACATCATAACAACAAATCACAGATTTAATATACATTTTATGTAAAATTGGGGGAAAATGTAGTCATATCTAGAGTTGAACAAAGTTATGTATATATCATAACAACAAATCACAGATTTAATATACATTTTATGTAAAATTGGGGGAAAATGTAGTCATATCTAGAGTTGAACAAAGTTATGTATACATCATAACAACAAATCACAGATTTAATATACATTTTATGTAAAATTGGGGGAAAATGTAGTCATATCTAGAGTTGAACAAAGTTATGTATATATCATAACAACAAATCACAGATTTAATATACATTTTATGTAAAATTGGGGGAAAATGTAGTCATATCTAGAGTTGAACAAAGTTATGTATATATCATAACAACAAATCACAGATTTAATATACATTTTATGTAAAATTGGGGGAAAATGTAGTCATATCTAGAGTTGAACAAAGTTATGTATATATCATAACAACAAATCACAGATTTAATATACATTTTATGTAAAATTGGGGGAAAATGTAGTCATATCTAGAGTTGAACAAAGTTATGTATACATCATAACAACAAATCACAGATTTAATATACATTTTATGTAAAATTGGGGGGAAATGTAGTCATATCTAGAGTTGAACAAAGTTATGTATACATCATAACAACAAATCACAGATTTAATATATATTTTATGTAAAATTGGGGGAAAATGTAGTCATATCTAGAGTTGAACAAAGTTATGTATACATCATAACAACAAATCACAGATTTAATATACATTTTATGTAAAATTGGGGGAAAATGTAGTCATATCTAGAGTTGAACAAAGTTATGTATATATCATAACAACAAATCACAGATTTAATATACATTTTATGTAAATTTTGACTCGAGTTTTTTTTCTCCCTTGGGAAGGTTACATTACAACTTCGATTGACCTAGATTTACCTGGAAGGTGAAGCAAAAGACGCATACTCTTCAGAAACACCTGCTTTTATGACTTCCTTTCAAGTAATTCCAAACGGTTTCCACAAGCATTTCATGACTTTGCTATCACGAGGTCATGGACATTTCATGACTTTGCTATCACGATGTCATGGACATTTCATGACTTTGCTATCACGATGTCATGGACATTTCATGACTTTGCTATCACGATGTCATGGACATTTCATGACTTTGCTATCACGAGGTCATGGACATTTCATGACTTTGCTATCACGAGGTCATGGACATTTCATGACTTTGCTATCACGAGGTTATGGACATTTTCACGTGTGCTTGAAGCACTGAACGCCATGTTTATGACACAATGTGCATTAACATATGGCACATTCCACAGTGACTGATACGTCACGCTGGGCTCACGCTGTCGGTAGCCAAAGTAGCCATTGGCTTTTTTAAAAAAATTTAATTGGCTACTTAAAATACAAAGTGGCTACTAAATTGGCTAGTACATTTTTTTCGTAAAAACCCTGTAAAAATCGGATAGGTAGCCCATTCCCCCGGGTATTGTACTGCCTGATTGACACGTATACATAATCAGGGCCGTCACAGGTAACATGGAGAGATTTGCGCACGATTACCATCAAAGTTTCAGATGTGTTATCTAATGTTCTTTGTAATTCTGCTTTATTGAAATATCATTATTCACGGCTCGGTCTGTTTGTGTAGAGTTGTTTGATAGGAGTTTTTCCGAACTACCCGGAAAGAGCTTCACCTGGTTCATTGATTTCATTATTTGTTACTGAATAGGATTGTCTCATTCAAACAAGCAGTGTGAACCATGTACATCATCGATATGTATATACGTACAGGTGTTTGGTAGACAAATAAAGAGGGATGTCACAAATTTGACATGTGTAATTGTAAGCTACTGTTTTGTACAGAGAAGTAGCTGTCGGTACATGCTACATAAACAACATAACAGAGATGTAATACCTACATTGAGGACAAAACCCGTCAAGGTGATAGCACTTTTATCAAGACAATTAAACAAATTACAAAAACATACTTTACCTTGATCATTAGTTATATAACAAACAGTGACGTAGCCTGCTTACCACGTTTTATTTCACCTGAATATTAACGGGCTGAATTTTTAAAAAAATCTGCAAATGCAAAAAAGAATAGATATTTGGTATACTTTGACGAAATCGCAGAGCTTTTAAACGAATGGATTATAAAGTATTTCTTTCAATAGAAGATATCAGTGACTGTAAAGCTGTCCCAGTTGCATTAAAACATTGCACGTTCTACAAAACAGGATGTTTATATTACGTAACATGGTGTAAATGTAACAAACTTGAAACGAAAGTTGCTTCCCTCTCGGGTACTATGTACCTTTAAAAAAGTAACAGCATCTTTATCAGTCAGCTACTAACTTTTTTATTAACACAATATGAACATACAACATTCATATAATAAAAACCAATAACGCTTATATGATATAAACATTCTGATTTTGAACAACATTCATAACTGTTATAAACATTGTAAATATCTGCATAGCGCTTGATACAACTGTTATAAATATTACAAATTACTGCACATATCTTATATAAACCATAGCTATCAGAAATATAGTGAACTATTGCTTAACACTTCAATACAATTGATATTGATATTTAATTTAGTCTGATATAAAAACTATAAAATACTTATTCACTAAAGATTCAGAGAGTTCTTACCTTTAAAACAAGTAACAGCCTCTTTGTCAGTCAGCTACTAACTGGAGATTTGGCTGACCGACAGATCATTATAGCAAAACTGAGGGCATTCCTTCATTTTACAAATAAGGAGAAGGGTTTGGGTTTGACCAATGGTCAGTCCTCAGGTACATCACTACTCTAGCCACTGCTTTAAATTTTGGTGAAGTGGTCTTTCCGTACGACATTGATTCAACATGTGGCTAGGTTCGAGCAGTCTAGGCAATTAAAGTATGATTGATTGACCAGTGGTCAGTTCCACGATGTCTGATCTGTTGCATTCAGGTGGTCAGGTGGTTTCTGCTCACGTAATGGGATTTCAACGTGTAAGGTTGAAGGCAAAGGTTGATCTGCTCGGTAATTTGGAAACTATTTTAATGTGTATTCCTTGTGCTTCAGCTTGACATACAGAAGGTCATTCGCTGAACTCTAAGGTAGAACTCTGCTTAAAGTATAATAATTTGCAGGACCCAACCGAGGACTTGAATTAATTAAAGTAAGAACAGAATATATCATAATATATATTCTTCTTATATTTTTACGAATTCTTTTCGTTATGTTTATATACAAATTTCTAAAAAATACATGTAAATGTAAAGTCTGCATACAACATGTTAGTAATCGAGATTTGTCTAAACCTGTACGAGGCTCGGTACCGATTCCTGACAAACAATTATCACACGAAGTAGGAATTCCATACTAACCTAAATGGTCTGTCTGTAAAACCGTTTCGATCAAAAACACGTTCATATAATAATTAAACATAAACTAAAGTCATTCTCGTCTAATTATTAAACCGTAATCACACCCTTCCTACATTGTAAGTCAAGACTGCACAACGTATTGCTTGTTAAGACATGCTTATAGAAAATAACTGATGAAGTATTTTGGCTTAGTTTTATTCACCAGGCCTACTTTAACACTCTTTAGAAAGATCTTAATTTCCGAAATTTTTCAATATTGACTTCTTACTAACCAAAATAATACTAAGTGATTACATCCAACACGGTTGACATTTAATCCACTCGTCGACATGTTGATTCCTTTTCAAATTTCTGCGTACTTCACAATAACCAGCACTGAAGACACAACAGGCAAATTGATAATACAAAACATAACCCGAATACCTTCCTAAATGTGTATTATACAAGGATATGTTTGGAAGTAAGATCTATATACAAGCAATAAGTGACATGCATGGTTGGGCCGCACATAACCAGTTCACGACTACCATTACAAGTTTAAAGAGATTTTTACTATGATGTTCCAACAATCAGTATATCATTCGTGTAAAATTAATACAAAAATAAACAAACAAATTAAAAAAGATATTTTGTAAGAGTGTATAAGGGCCATGAGGGCCATAGTTCGCCTGTCTATTGCCAGCTATCTATTGCTGTACTGTTATTCCAAACACCTGGCCAAATTAGGCAATGACAACAATGGAAATTTAAAGGTAAAATGAAAAAAATAGGTATGATTCTATTCCTTTCCTATTCAGTTTACTACATAATCGTAAGCACAACGATGGATGGCAGGCAATAATGTAGGACACATAACTATATACCTTAGCACTTCCTTGGATTTATCGTAATCACACTGTCGTAGAGTATACTAAAACTGACGTGCCAAAAACCTGACACCAAACAACAATGACTTTGATGTTTTGACCTACAGCTGACATAATATATCTTTTAAAACTATAGGAACATAGTGAGAGGCTACATGACAAAACATGAGTCGTTAGTGTGTTGCTAATTCAAATATTCGGTCCTGGGTTCTGATACAATATAATCCTGCTTCTATAGTAAATCTATTTAAAATTCTTGAAGCGGTCTCGGAAGATATTTCATACAAAGGTCTATTTAGCCTTCTTGCCAAAATATTCTAAAATAAATGCTATTTCATGTTGTCTATTAACTCGCCAAGTTATGAACTCTGCCTTGGATTTCTTCCAAGTGTTGTCGAGTGTTTCTTTTATCATTAGTCATTCTAAGTATATCATAAATGCTAAGGGCATTCAGAATTGCATTTCAAATCGTCTACAAGTGATTATTTACAAAATAAATAATGTGACAATTTATCTTCTTTTGATTTGGGTTGATTTTGTTCCGTTCTTTTGTTATAAATTAAAAAAAGTTTTCATTGTTTGATCATGGCAATGAAATTTACCAATACAATTTTGATTTGCTCTGGAAGATAAGCCCATATACTCCACGTTTAGATACAATATGATCTTACTGTATTGCAGTTAGACATACAGGTAAACAGCCCATCTTCATACTAATTTAGAATATCCTTGACTTTTCTGACATATAAAAATAACGAAACTTGTTTAATTATGGGGGCTGTTGCAACTCCCGTCTAGATTTTGGCAACCCTTATGTCATCGGTCGCCTCCTTAAAGCCCCTAGCACCACCGTCGGTTTTTTTTTCATTTTTAATTAAAACCTTTATAATGGGGTAATCTAATGAACAAAAAAATCACCCATGGCCACACCGAGAAACTGTGTACTGCTACCTGGAGTTTGCGCCCGACGTCCAAGCCCATCTTGCTTATCTACCTCTTTTTTAATGCGAGTTGACTAAGGGGAATAACTCCTCACAGTTCAATTATAGGGTTCTAGAAGGACGCCACAACAGTACGATACACTCTGGTTCAGTATTTTGTTCTACTGTATCTAAATGTGTATTTTAAGGTGCTATTTACTCGTTTATCCTATGCACAAACATAGCGCATCACCCACAGCTGCCTCATCCTTCTAGAACTCGTCAGTAATGCATACTATAAACCTAAAGTGTTAAAACCTTAATTCACTCTTTGTTCTTTGTTTTAAATTAGTATCTTTCTGAAAAAAAAAACCTAAACATATGTATTTTTTCAAAGGTACCAGAAACTCAAAACGAAACCCACTCTAGCCATGGACCAGGTTCATGATGTTCCACTTCCTGTCCAGATTCGGGACAAGCTGAACTTGATCAAATTCTATCTGCTGGGTGTATGTCATATCCTTCGCGTAAGTAATGGTGAAAAGATGTCCTCATAGCTTCCATTATCAAATATGCTGATGTATTAATTAATACTGTTCTTGTTTTTTTATATAAGAACCACAGAATACTCGGAAAATTACGAACAAATTAGAACCAGGAATTTATCTGTAATGTGAAAATCATGTGCAATTGTTTGTCTGGTTTTTTTCTTAACATTATTGTATTGAAACATGATTTCTTTTCATAATCTTATAGAAGCATATCATATATTTCCTGTCCGTACCGGAACCTATCATCAGGCCAAGCCAGCCGTGGACAACAGACGTCGGGTTTGACTGTCTGAGCCTGAACTGGGACAGAGTTGAGAGAGACGATATTACACATTATGAGATCCGAATGAAAGAAACTGGTGACAATTCGTGGAATAAAGCAATTGTTCCCACGGAAAATAAACGGCCTTTTCATCGCTTTAGCGGGTTGTCTCAAAACACTGGATATGAGTTCATGTCAAGAGCTGTATATGCAGACGGTAGTACCAGCGAATTTAGCAACAAGAGTGTTGAAGTGAAAACAAAATGTTCCGAACTTAACACTGTACTTCGGCTTTGCCAAAAAATACATGATGGACCACCAAGCGTTTACAGACTACCCTCGGATGAGAGCAGAGCAATGAGGGACGAAGATCAAAAGATACGCATGTGTACATTGGGTAAAATTTGATCGTTAATGTTTCACGTCAGGAACTCAAAATTGATAAAAATGGAAAGCTAATATGTTGTATTTGTGATTTTAGCAGCTTCATTCAAAGTCGGGGTAAATTCAAATATTGTAACAGAATCTTAACTTTGTCATGAAAATCTTTGATTTCAGTTAAAATATGGCTTATTCTATCTATTCTAGTTTGTTTGCAAGGAAGGAAAATCTTATGTGATTGACTTTCAATTATCTCCCTTTTGCAAACGAATCGCTCTATGGTTTCTTTAACAGATCATTTATTTATTAAACTGGCTAATTCAAGCATTCATTTCCTTTCTGTATAATACTTATTTATCCAACTAAGAAAAGAACAATTGAAAATATAGCCGATTTTCATAACGTTACAATTTGTTTTGAAGGAGATTCGAAATGCCTTCAGGAGAAGGTTATCTTGATGATTGGTCCTGGCGAAGGAGGGAAAACCACCCTTGTCAACGGACTTGTCAACCATAATCTCGGAGTGAAATGGAAAGACGACTGTAGATTCAAAATTACAGATGAAACAGGAACTCCTCCAAACCAGGTATTTGAAACGTTAACGAAATATCATAATTACAAGGCTAGTGAACCTTCTTTTGAACACAATTTTGATTTTATCCTGTTGTCTCTTAGATTTAAAAGGACAAAACAGCTGCATAATGCAGTTTGATTTATTGTTTGGCCCTACCGTATCTAACTCTAAATTCTTAAAGGTGATAATAACTTGTGTTTCTTTGGTAAATCTTTTTAAGTGAAAGGCGCTATTAACATGTGGTATTTTGTACAATCCTCTTGCTGCAATTTTAAAATCAGGAGATACATCTCGATATGGGTCTGAACATTTCTTTATTAAATATTGTTACCAAATAAATAAGAATGGTGCATCTGCTGCTTGTCATACAACTCTGACACATAACAACCTCTGTAACATTTTTGCATAATGTTTATCACTAATCTATGATAGGATATTTTTTCATCAAATTACGGCTATATCGGCACGCCTATCGAGATATATGACCATATGTCGATATAAATTATGGCAGAAATAATGCACAATTTCATTCGACTGCTTATTCATAATTAATTCGTTTCAGCGATCACACACTGAATGGATCACGTGTTACAAATTGCATCCAATCATGGATAACAATGACTATATTTTGAATATCATTGACACCCCAAGCCTAAACGATGGTCCTGGATCAACTAATGAAGAACTCTTCGAACGCCTCAAACATTTCTTATCCTCTGGAAGTACTTGGGGACTGAATGGCAGAATAGATGCCATTTGCTTGGTCGTCCAGGCCAATCCTGTCCAAGCGAACAGTATCGATATGGCTTTATGCGACGTATCTCATAGCATAGCGTCAATATTTGGAGTCAACATGCTGGAGAACATTCTTCCTATGCTAACATTCGGAGACGGAAAAGAACCATCGGTGTTATCCACCCTCTCAACAATAGGTTTTCCGACAGTCCGTCACTTCGTCTTCAATAATTCAACACTTTTCCCTCCGTATACCGAAGATGCTTTGTTGGGAGAGACTTTGTGGCAATTTCGATCTAAAGGATTCGAAGATTTTTTACAACATCTCCAGACCATGAACCCTTGTCCTCTCAAGACCACAGCAGCTATACCACCCTCCCTTGAGCCAAAAGATCAACAGAAGATAATGAGAGAGATACAGGATAATCGTTTGGATATGAACGTCAAACTCATGGATCTTGCGACAATAAAAGCTGACAGAGATACTGTTAAGACGTATGCTGTCGACATTGATTTGAAGCAATCATTCACGTATGAAGAAGAAGTGTATCAACAAGAGAAAATTCCTCTAGCGCCTGGAACACATGTTACCAACTGCATCATCTGCCACACCACGTGCCACTATCCCTGTCAAATTCCCGACAATGACGGCAAAATTAGATGCGCAGCAATGGAGGATGGATATTGTACAGTATGTCATCAAAAGTGTGTCTGGCATGTGCACAGGAACGACACATTCAGGATAGAAGAAAAGATGGTGACGGTGACCAGGACGTACGAAGGCATCAAAGCAAAATACAAATTTGATGTAAAAGACGATGTAGCAGCTGATGCGATGCTACAGGCCATCAAACGAGCTTTTGTGTCTTTGCTGGAAGAGTTGATCTCTCTTATCTCAAGGACAGTTAAATCAAGCAACACTTTGCAAGGAATTCAACAAAACGAAAAGGATTTCATCATGCGTGTGATTGACTCAGAAGAACAAGAAAAGAAAGCTGGGTATGAGAAGCGATTGGAACTACTTCACGCCATTAAGAACAATACAACAGTTTCTGTTTCTGACCCAAACGCTTGGTTAAAAGACATGGGATTCAAAAACTGGTAAAAGATTTTCTGAGCATAGTTATCAAAGCACGAAAATGTATACCATTCCAGTCATATGCTGGACAAAATACTGTAAACTCAAAACTTCATCATAGTCACGTTAGCAAAGTGGGTTATACAAATAGATGACCGTGATACAGAATTTGATTATTGTGCTTTGAATAACAAAGTACCGAAACCAGTGACAGATATATGATATTGAAGGCAGGTTTGAATTTTTATGGACAAACGAAGAAAAGTGTTTTTATACTTCATAACATATACACATACGGCTTTTCCATTGTATGAGTGTTGAGGTTGGGGAGTTGGGGTATGAGTAAGGGTGAACCCAAGTATTAAAAAACAAAATAAGTTTTATGCTTTTACTTGTACAAACACTTTAATTATGTTCTTGTAGTTTAATGTTAACTTCATATTCTGATCAGATTAATAATGCGAGATTAAATTTATGGTTAAGGATTCCGTTGTTCTGGAAACTAATACTTGCTGGTACATATAGAAATCCTTAATATTGATATTTTTGCCATCAGTACACCTGATTGTTTATATGACTATGTGGCTCAAATGTGTCCTGTTTATTCTTTTTTTTTTAATTTTGGTTTGTTCGGAGTTTTTTTCTTCCGTCATTCTGTTTCAGTACATGTTTCAGTATTACTTTGTATTGAGGATGTGCGTCCATTAATGCAAGATATTACTGATAACAATTGCTCTGATATTCAATTTTTTAATCGATGTTCTTTGATGATCTCTGGAATTCTGTGTAATTCCTTTTTACTCTCTTCGACAAATTTCTTGATTTCAACACTTGTGTTAAAATAAAGGTGTAATGCAGAACATCTTTTTGTTCATTATGTCATTTTAATGGACTTTTTGAGTGTCTAAATTTCAACGTTTGTGTGAACATTAAGGTGTAATGCGGAACATCTTTTTGTTCATGATGTCATTTTAATGGACTTTTTAGTGTCTAAATTTCAACGTTTGTGTTAACATTAAGGTGTAATCCAGATCATCTCTTTGTTCATGATATCATTTTAATGGAATTTTTTTAGTGTCTTGCTTTTAACGTTTGTGTTAACACTAAGGTGTAGTCCATATCATCTCTTTGTTCATGATATTTTGCTACTACTGCTGTTACCAGTTTATCAGATATCGGCCTAGATGACAGTTAAAGCTCATGGATCACTTGTTGAAATCATTTTTTCATCGATGATAATGGTAATCATTACCTCGTCACCTCAATGCTGCCGCTTACCGTCTCGTTTAAATAATTGCAGTTTTTTTATTTTAGGGAAATAGTTAAAATGACATAATGTAGTAACAAACTAAACGCAGAATATCTCCATAATTTAGAAGTACAAGCTTTTTTTTTATACTTTCGTTTATAATTTTCATTGAGGCTTTTTCAAACACAAATTATCGAGAGATATATGCAAATCAACTTGGATGAATACGTCGGGAATTGACATTAAGTTTTGTGTTTACGACTATAAATTTTCTATTTTTACTGTTTTTAATTTCCATTTTTGTACAGATGTTATTTATAAGCAGAAACAAATTTGTATCTTGGTCTAGTTTGTACTTATGTTTTGTTTTTGTGTGATAATGCCCCATTTATCTATATGTATTGATTTTTGATATTAAAGACGCGCTATGGTTATCTTATATTCTAACATGCTTTGTATCATAATCACGAAACACAATGTACTCCGAATTGCTTCCAATATTCCTCAAAGACGAACACGTAATAAATCTATGTATATTTATATGGACAAATATATTCATATCTCAGTTGTTTTTCATACCCTTCCATATATATGGTAAAAACTACTGTAAATCACTCAAATTTCGTGTTGAATTATTTTCGCGTTAATACACGAAAGGAGTCAAACTCGAATTCAAATCCTTTCGATTACTTGTACAAAAATAACTCCATCTATGTTGATTTGGTTATCGATAAGGAAGTCATGCAGAATCCATGTCTCTAATAGCTTTTCGTTTCTAGATCAGGGTTCGCGAAAATGTCTGAAGAGGTAACTTCTCGAAATTAAGTATTCACGAAATCTAGGTCATTCACAATAACTAGTAGATCAAGTAATATTTTTGATCGATGATGAAAGCCGATCAGGCAGTAGCTAGACAATAGGTACCTTACGATATGGAATTGTGTTGGTAATTAGTACTTAATCAGACATCCCTTTATATCAAACGATGCCATGAATAAGAGTGATTTGATCAGTTACCCAATGGATTTTTTATGTTTAAATTTCCTCCCTCTCCAACAAGTTTGTTAACATTTCCCAACGTAGAATATATTGTACAAAACAACTCAAGTGCCATTTCCCACTATACAATTGGTACATTAACTAAACTGTCGTATATTGTGAACAACGGAAATAAGAAATGACAATGAATAAATAAATTAATGAATTGAAAAATATATGTAAACTGCAACTTTTCGATTTTTACCATTTGGCGGTTTGAACACCTAAGTGACAGATGGATGGAATATATCTTTTAATATCTTCATATATGAAAATATTGTAAATGTATTTACTATTTTTATGTTTTAAGAAATAAAACGTATACATAATTTCCTGCCTTGTTTCTTGTTTTGACTGGAATGGTAATGCCCATCATGTAAATACTCGTTCCGTCAACAACAGAGTAGAATTTCAAAGAGGTGAAAATGAAATACATTGTAGAATCATTTTCGTGGTAGTTTCATTTTCGTTGATTCTTCTAAACTTCTGAACCACAAATCTGCAGAATTAATTTAACTATTATCCTTGACAATTTTACTTAGTTCGTGAGTATTGTCTATCCAAATTAAAGCCTAGGATAAACTATGAGATTTGAATCCCAAGATATGATTTCTCAGGTGATTTGGAATATTGACTTGAACATTTATTCCTGTTGCATGGTCTTTGGAAACTGAATGTAAGTAATTTTAGTATCCTGTTGCTTTACAGGAATGATTTTCGCATTAAATAGTTTTCCACTGGTGGACTAGAAAGACGATTGAATATACTTTTCCTTCTTCAATGGTTCAAATTTTTGCAGTCTTTTTCTAAAAGCTCGAAGCTGTGGGATAATGTTTTTCGTGGAAGCGATAAAACTGACAAGGTTTTATTCCTTCCAAATTTAGTTTTTAAAACTCTCTCTCTCTCTCTCTCTCTCTCTCTCTCTCTCTCTCTCTCTCTCTCTGTCTCTGTCTCTCTGTCTCTCTGTCTCTCTAAAATGAGATGGAGTTAAGACATCTATCAATACGTGCTGATGCTAGGATCGCGGATGGGTAATATTTCTCGCTATAAGGAGATTTGAAGACGCCATTTTAAATAAAAATATAAAGGTCAAAGGACTTGAAAACGTCAACGTTGCTTTTGTTTTGATTCATCACGTTTCATAATTACAAATGTAATTAAACGCTACGGAACTAAATAAAATCAAAACGTTTTAATGATGTCTGAATCTTTGATAATATTAGTAAGAAAATACATTGTAAATTTCATTATAGATTGACACTGATACGTCCAACAATCACCGTCATAGTCCGATCAAATCTTCCGCTTTTGAGAACGTTCATTCCATTTTTATTATTTCACTTTCCATGACAATACTATTATGTCATTCATTTGGTGCAAATGCCAACATTATAGATCTCGTCCAACGCAGTCAGCACACCAGAACACGTTGTCTGGGTCGTATCTACGTTTGATAGCAAGAAGACGGTCATAATTACTTCCCCAGAAGTCATCTTTCCACGAAGGTGAATCAGCAGAGCCCTCGTTTCGGTAACTTCCGAAACCAAATGGTCTCAGCTTTTCTCTGACCTTTTGACCTTCTGCCACAAATTCATGTTCATGGTCACCATATCCAGACCAGCTAATTCGTTGTTTTTCTTCTTTGGACAGGTCATGTTTTTGAGTCACGGGATATCGTATACAAGTATTCGACCTCCACGAGAGAGCCGTGCTTTGGAAAAAAAGAGAAAAAAAATAGAAAATACAAACATGCCTATATAATCACAATCCAAACACAAATTCAATAAAACTCGGGAAAAATAAGAAGAAAAGAATAGTTAAAAATGAGACTCCTGAAAAGTACCAGGAGAAGAAGACCAGGTGTTCCAGAAGAGTAACGTCTTTTGGATCATCGATGACACCCGCCATATAAACCTTGGTCAATCCAAGTAAGCCATGTCACGTTCTCAAATGAGAACAACGTGTATACAACAGCGGAATCAGCAATCAAACTAACGAGGATCAAATAGATCGGTCTTCATATCGCACAAAAATGAATACGTTTTAATGAGATCACGATGCCGACATACAATTTCTCAATACTTTTCGTTAACCTTCATCATCTTCTTGTATGAAAATTGTGATAATGGGAACAGGAATTTGATCCTCTCAAAGTCGAGATTGTCATTTGAAATCCAAGGACGAAATTGGAAATCCCTAGCCCGAGATGCGACGAAAAGACATATTTCTAATAATCTACGTATGTGTTAAAGACATAGATAGAAAGTTGTCAAATATGTATATATATATATATGCCCAGCAATATTAAAATGTCCTGTGTGTATTCATGTGCATTATGCATATGAAAGTAACTATTTCTTCCAGCAGTTATTGTCTTAATATCATCACAAGCATGTGGTGTCTTCAATTTATATATCTATAATTAATAAAAATAGTGACGTCAAGAGCTATATTGTTTATATGGTCATAACTTATTAGTGTACCAATTTTCAGTTTCATACAAAATTGACCAAGATATGACATTTTTACTGTAGTGAGATCGACAGCTTGGCATACATGTATTGTACATTGTATACAAGCAGCCTGGGTTATGGCGAAGCGTCTTCAGGCAGTATTGTTGTTATTATGATCATGATACATTAATTGCCAAGTTTCAGTTTCATTTATGAAAAAAATGACCAAATTATGGTAATTTTACTAAAGCGAGATTACTAGATATGGTCATATCACCAACATATCT